TGAAGAATCAATAGTGACTAGGGCTGAAATGATTTGTCTATCAACAGAAAATAGGCACAAGGTATTTTAATAATTGATTAATTGTTTAAGTAATTTTGCGTGCAAAAATGTCAGAAAATGCTCTTTTCAGCGTCTCAAACATGGACATTTCCTGCTTTTCTTATATCATGTTAAAGTCAATATGTTTTGGATTTACAAAACAAGAATGAGATGGACATGTTTTAGACCCCTACGTTAATCGATTGATTAGGTCAATAGTCTGCAGATGAATCTATAATAAAAGTAATAGTTATTGCAACACATAACTGCACAGTTACAGTATGTCAATGTTTGATTGGGGAGTAAGTGCTTTAGCAAATTGCTGACGTTGGATAGCTGAACGTTTAAGTGATGTTGAACTCAGTGAGCCTGATGTTGTTGAGTTTAAGTACAATTGATCCAGAACCTCCTGTAAAGGTTTAGTCATCTCTCCGAGTTTCTTGTGTGGTTTGCAATAAGTGATACACATGGATCTGATGGGTCTATTGTGATATTAAAGCGAGCCTCTTCAAAATGAGCCCTGGGTGTTAAAGACATGAAAGGATTTGACGATGCACAACTAGTTACAGAAATGCATCTTATCAAGTAAGATGTAGCACAGGAGGGTGTGGTGTGTGTGGACCTAATCTGCTCTCTGCAGCTGTGTGTGTGTGTGTGTGTGTGTGTGTGTGTGTGTGTGTGTGTGTGTGTGTGTGTGTGTGTGTGTGTGTGTGTGTGTGTGTGTGTGTGTGTGTGTGTGTGTGTGTGTGTGTGTGTGTGTGTGTGTGTGTGTGTGTGTGTGTGTGTGTGTGTGTGTGTGTGTGTGTGTGTGTCATCTGGGAGTGGCCAGCTTCTCTCTAAAGGTCCTTACAGTAACTCTTTACTCTTCCTCCAATTACCGAGCTGCATCTCGAGCTCACTTCCTGTTAGTGGTTCTGGCGCTGCTGTCGGCTAATGCTGCATTTTGTAAAAAGCTCTGCACTTCCACTAATCTGTGCCCTGAGGAATACAGCATCCTTCATGTGAGGGTAGGTTTTTATATCTTTATGCTGCCTTTTGAGATTACAGAAGAAGCCGGCTTAATGTGCAGTTTGTTTATCCACTCTGTTTTCGCGCTAATGCAAGATAAACAAACGTATTTATCTTACTTTAAATTGTACATATTGTGAGAGTATTGATTGAACGGATAATTGTGATTTAATATTTAATGTGCTGGGCTTTAGTGGACTCTTTGAATCATAGTCTTATTATTAAACAATATTCTGCATACTGCACATATTAACTTTGATAGCAATTACTTTTTGAATTGATCTGAATCATTGCCGCTGCTTTAGGAGCTAATGGCTAGCTAAATAAGACTTTGTAATGTCTTTTAACCTATTATTTTGTATTAATAATTATGTCTATACTTCTATTTAATCTAATCTGTTTGCTTGGTTAATTTCAAATTAGGTATGAATAGGGCGTTGTAAAAAATATCTAATTTAGTTTATGTTGCGATATGGTTCACGATATTGGAAATAGATTTTTATAGCAACACATTCATTTGCCTTTTGTCTGTAGAATACACATTTCAGGTTGGGACTTTTTCGCCACATTCTGAATATAATTGAGTCAAATGTCTTTAATACATATTACATATTGCGTCTCCTCAGACTAGTCCATATTGTCATATCACTAACATTTCAGATTCTTTTTTCAGCCCTGCTAGTCATAAACAGATGATATTCAAAGTACAAACTGTCCATGATGGAGCGAATGAGAGCAACACTTGCAGCCTGTTGTTGTTTCTGTAGTTTCATCACAAGGTTTGTGACCTCAGGCTCTTCCTGTCTGAAGCTACTGCCAATAATTGTGGCCGAGCGCAATCTTTAATGTTTTTCTCGGTTATAATTGGTCATAAGGTGCCTTCATGCCGATCTTCAGACTGTTCTCCAGCTGAATGAAGTGGAGTCTTTCTGTTTTCGTAAAGGACTGTAACACCAACTCTGGCAACTAGCTGTTATATAAATGCTATATATATTTTTAAAGTCAACTAAGAATAACTTGAAAGACAGTGATATTGCACTGAGGTTTTCCTTTAATGGTGAAAGAGTGTCAGTAAAAAACAACCCTACTTTAACTCATTCCTTTTTCTTTTTGTTGCCTTTTTTCTTCAGTTCAATGTTACCATCCTTCCAAAAATAATGCTATAAGTAATTTACTTTCCTCAACTTTAATGAACAATGTGTTGTTTTTAAGCTGTTTGCTCAAGGCAATAGAAAGGCAGCACTGAGTACAATTTAATATCTGTTATATTCATTGTAAGCAAAATCATTATTGGGATTTCAACATCATTATTTTGGATTTGTATATATTGTGCTGCCCTAATTGTTGCTCAAAGAAGTGCATTTTCCGAGCAAACAGCTTACAGCATTTATCCATGGCAAAAAACCTAGACTAATCTGTCAGGTTTTAAAAAGATCTATTTCTACCTGCAGGGCACACTTTGGATTTCCCCGAATGGAAATGAGAGTGATTACACAAACAATGTAGACAAAAAATGATTGAGAACAGAAACGTTTCCTTTTTTTCTGCCATCCTCTAAGTTGCAGCTGAAACATTTTGGACTCACACACCTCCCTCGTAGAAGTCAGACATGAGATCTCTGCAGAATACAGAGAGCTTGTCCTGGAAGCGAGAGGCTTGGTCAGCATTATGTGAACTTGTTTCTTAAGTGCTCGATTGTGATGGACATTCATTTAAAGGTCACCTATTATGCAAAATCCACTTTCTCATGTCTCTTCTACATCAACATGTGTCCCCTCTTCTTCATGTCTCTTCTACATCAACATGTGTCCCCTCTTCTTCATGTCTCTTCTACATCAACATGTGTCCCCTCTTCTTCATGTCTCTTCTACATCAACATGTGTCCCCTCTTCTTCATGTCTCTTCTACATCAACATGTGTCCCCTCTTCTCCATGTCTCTTCTACATCAACATGTGTCCCCTCTTCTCCATGTCTCTTCTACATCAACATGTGTCCCCTCTTCTCCATGTCTCTTCTACATCAACATGTGTCCCCTCTTCTTCATGTCTCTTCTACATCAACATGTGTCCCCTCTTCTCCATGTCTCTTTTACATCAACATGTGTCCCCTCTTCTTCATGTCTCTTCTACATCAACATGTGTCTCTTCTACATCACCATGTGTCCCCTCTTCTTCATGTCTCTTCTACATCAACATGTGTCCCCTCTTCTTCATGTCTCTTCTACATCAACATGTGTCCCCTCTTCTCCATGTCTCTTCTACATCAACATGTGTCCCCTCTTCTTCATGTCTCTTCTACATCAACATGTGTCCCCTCTTCTCCATGTCTCTTCTACATCAACATGTGTCCCCTCTTCTTCATGTCTCTTCTACATCAACATGTGTCCCCTCTTCTTCATGTCTCTTCTACATCAACATGTGTCCCCTCTTCTTCATGTCTCTTCTACATCAACATGTGTCCCCTCTTCTTCATGTCTCTTCTACATCAACATGTGTCCCCTCTTCTTCATGTCTCTTCTACATCAACATGTGTCCCCTCTTCTTCATGTCTCTTCTACATCAACATGTGTCCCCTCTTCTCCATGTCTCTTCTACATCAACATGTGTCCCCTCTTCTTCATGTCTGTTCTTCATCAACATGTGTCCCCTCTGTGGAAAGAGACTCTGAAAGTTTCAGGAACAAAGATTCTCTCTCTTTTTGTCCTGATCCATTTCTATAAAAACCTGTCTGAAAATGAGCTGATCAGATTTTGGCCACTTTATGATTTCATAACGATGTGTTGTCTTGTGTAACCATTAGCCAATCAGCAACCAAGGTAACCCCCCCCCCCCACCATATCACCTGAATCTCCTCCTAGAGCACCATTGTGTTCTTTTTAACCAAATCTCTCTCAGAGGGGCGTGGGGAGGGGCTCCTTATTTTCATCTAAAGCAGTGGTTCCCAACCTGGGGGGCGCCAAAGATCGCAGGGGGGGCGCCAGGCCTCAGATTATTTGAAGCCAAATATCAGATTTAGACTTTTTTTTATTTATTTTTTATTACATATAATTGTAACTCAATACATGATTGTCACTAAAAGCCTTGTCTCTTCATTACAATACAATATACAAAATAATTGATTAATTCATTTGAATAAAAATTCAAGTTAGTATTAAAGGCATAAAAATACAAACATGTATAATTTTTTCTTTGATAGAAATGTTCCTTCTGCCCGTAAAGTGTCCAAACCAGGCTTTGCTGGATAAGCGCATTTTTAAAAACATAGTCATTGTCCATGCCGGTTTCAGTTGGATTATTTGTCACAGTTGCTCCGATCAGATCGGTCTCCTCCATTTAGATTATTTACGACTTTTGAATCCACATAAACACATCGGCAAAATCCGGCTTACTTTGAGCATGTGTTTTAAACAGTTTAATCCCTTTGTGAATTGTTTCCACTTCCGCGCCGTCCTTTAATTTCTTCATACAGCGGGAATTAATCCTGAGTCCAATAACCATCAAAGTCACTCCAATAGTGCTCCTTAATTGCGCTTTCATCCTCCTTTAACAACATACTTCACATTCATCCAGTTTGTGACAGTAGTTGTAGCATTTTTGAGACTTTTAAACTTTAATTACCGCTGTTACGGTTCCCCCCCGCGAGTGTGTGTGGGGGGGGCGGCCCTTCCAACAGGAGTCATTTGGGGGGGCTCTTGGGAAAAAAGGTTGGGAACCACTGATCTAAAGTAACAGACAGAGAATCAGCACTTGGGAAACAGGGCTGAAACAGAGGGGATTATGGGATGCTGCAATGATCTGTTTGGTGTTTCAGACAATCAGAGACATGTTCTGTGTATATCTGAGAACTATGATATATTGATGAAAAACTGTATAATAGGGGACCTTTAAATATCAAAGTCCCACAGTCCAGCTTCAAGCAGCATTTGTATAACAGTGACACTCTTTATTTGCAGGTATCCCCTCTGACCTCTGGTTGTAAGACATCCACTGCAGAACAGTAGAAGATGAGTAAGTCCCCGACCCCCAGTGGTACCCCGGTGCAGCTCAGCCCCAGCGATGGGGTCCCGGAGAGCCTCCCGTCTCCACAGCACTCCACCCCAGGCTCCGGACCCCCGCAGAAGAAACGCATCTCCAGCCTCCTCCAGAGTCCGGTGAGAAGGCTGTGTGTCTGCGAGATTTATTGCCTCAGTCTTTCCCCTTCTCTAATGTCCTCACATCACAATAAATCTGCTCTGAGACGCAGTCAGGGCTGGATCCTCTCTGAGTGCATGACTCTGTGTTTCTGCTGCTAATGAAGCGAGGTGGAGAGGCTGAGCATTAAGTGAGAGCATTCATTTAAGATGTTTACTTACCCCTTACCAGAGGTGGGACGTAGTGGAGTACAAATACTTTGTTACTGTACTTAAGTACATCTTTCTGATATCAGTACTCCACTACTTATTTTTCTGACAAGTCTTTAACATTTTGAACCCAAACACCTGTACTTTCTACTTCTTACATGTTGAACACAAATACCTGTACTTTCTACTTCTTACATGTTGAACACAAATACCTGTACTTTCTACTTCTTACATGTTGAACCCAAACACCTGTACTTTCTACTTCTTACATGTTGAACACAAATACCTGTACTTTCTACTTCTCACATGTTGAACACAAATACCTGTACTTTCTACTTCTTACATATTGAACACAAATACCTGTACTTTCTACTTCTTACATGTTGAACACAAATACCTGTACTTTCTACTTCTCACATGTTGAACACAAATACCTGTACTATCTACTTCTCACATGTTGAACACAAATACCTGTACTTTCTACTTCTTACATATTGAACACAAATACCTGTACTATCTACTTCTCACATGTTGAACCCAAACACCTGTACTTTCTACTTCTTACATGTTGAACACAAATACCTGTACTTTCTACTTCTCACATGTTGAACCCAAATACCTGTACTTTCTACTTCTTACATGTTGAACACAAATACCTGTACTTTCTACTTCTTACATGTTGAACACAAATACCTGTACTTTCTACTTCTCACATGTTGAACCCAAATACCTGTACTTTCTACTTCTTACATGTTGAACACACATACCTGTACTTTCTACTTCTTCTATGTTGAACCCAAATACCTGAACTTTCTACTTCTTACATGTTGAACTCAAATACCTGTACTTTCTACTTCTCTCATTTTCCAAACAGCTGGTTCCTTTAGTCTGAATGTGTGTTTGATGCGTGATCATTATTCTTTAGAGTCATTGCGTGCCTATTGATTTGAACACGATCCGTGTATCCATCATTTCCTGGTCTTCTCTAAAGAAGAGGGACCAATGGAAACGTTGTCATGTTGCCGTTGTTCAGCATGGAAACATTCATTAGCTAACAATGACATTATTGTTCTATTAATATAAAGGGAGGTCAGGTACTCTTTAAAACAGCTGCTAGCTATGGGTACTTTTTACTGAAGTACATTTCAAAGCCCTTTGACTTGAGTCAAGAAGTTTAGTCAGTACTTCTACTTTAACAGGAGTATATTTAAACACGAGTATCTGTACTTCTACTTGAGTAAAGGATGTCTGTACTTGTGCCATCTCTGCCCCTTACTGCTGTAGTGAAGGGACTGTGTTCAAAATCCAGGGTTCAAAAGACCATTTTATTTTTTCTTTCCCTCACATACGTCTATTTTTTATTAAAAGTTTAAACAAAAATGGATTAAGGAGAGAATACGATAAATTAACTCCAGATGCAGCAATAGTCATCTGACCAAGGTGAACTAAATAATACCATAATATCATAAATTGGAGGCCGATTGTTTATTTGATTAGTATTAGTAACCACTTCCCTGTATACGTTTAGTTGTTGTGCTGTGTAGAAATACTCTTGCTCATGTTGTAAAATTGCAGAGATGCCAGCAAAGAAGTCCTTAAGAACAAGGCCTTCAGAAGCGATGAAAGGAAGTGCTGCTAGATAAACTTTACAAAAGTTAACATGTGTTTTTCCAGAGTTCAGTACTGGTGTTAAAGGAATATTAGAAGGCATCAAAGAGCAGTATTTAGTAAGTGGTATCAACATCTTCCTCCAATTGGGATCATTGGACCGGTAGATTTTCTAGAATTATACAATTATAAACATATGATATTCATGCAATTTTGTATCTTACTTAAATAATAACGTATAATTATGGACTTCCCTCTTGACCACTTGTTTAATGTTCTATTAACTAGAAGAAAAACAAAAATAAGAAAACATTGGTGAATTGCAGAAATTGTAGACACAAACAAAATAGGAGGAGATTTTAATTGAGTATAATTATGAAACTTAAATGATTAGTGTTAACTTTGCATACCCTACATATATGTGATACTATAATAATCTCTATGTGTGTGTGTAGTCGTTCAGGGAGGAGCTGGACGTGCTGATCCAGGAGCAGATGAAGAAGGGGGGCAGCTCCTCGAACCTCTGGGCTCTCAGGCAGCTCGCTGACTTCATGTCGTCTCACGGCTCTCCGGCCGCGTTACCCGTCTCCCCTTCCAGTACGTGCACTTTAAAGAATATTTAATACAGCTTTAAAATACTGACTGTAAGCATGGTAGTTAGAAAATGAAATACTGATATGTTAATGTTAATGAAAAGCCATTCAATGCATTCCACACTCTGTAAAACGATCTGCTTTGATATAGTTTATCTGCAGCGTATGTATGTGTGTATGTATACAGTAGATGTGTATGATTATAGGTATTTTCTGCATGTATGTATATGTATATGTAAATGTATTACATGCATATATATTCATTTAACAATGTTCCTGGTCATTCTTTTTTCTCTTTGTACATATAAACCAGTACAGACCATTGTCCCATTTGTATGCATATATGTTGCTTTCCACTTCTAAATGGCAAACATTACTTATTTTTGAAACGCAATACAAATATTTTTGATCAGAAAAGCCATTTTAAGTATGGCTATAGTCTACTACACAGATCATTTCAATTGTGATTAAAAAGATGTGATTTTAGCCCCACTGCAGACCACCGTCACCCCTCTCTCCTTCTCTCCCTCACTCTCTCCTTCTCTCCCTCAGACATGATGATGGTGACCCCCATCAACGACCTTCAGATCTGGGAGCCCGGCAGCCTGGTGAAGGGCGAGCGCTTGATGCGCTGCAAGCTGGCGAGCGTCCATCGCCTGTTCGATCTGTACGGCTGGGCCCAGATCAGCCGCACGTGTCTCACTGTCAGTGCCACTTCCTTCTCACGTTTCATTCCTGATCTTTTTCTCATTTTCATTTAATTAATTCTGCGGCTTTTTAGTCACCTGTTCAGAATACATATTTTTTCTGGCTGTTTGTGGTCGGAGCTAAACATGAAATCCGCTTTGGTCCGAAGTTTTCTCTGGAAGTTTCTCTCATAGCTGGGACTAACTGAGTTGATCGTGGTGCAGTAGATGCTGAAAGAGATATAATGGACTTTGTTGATATAGTTGGCAGCAGTCTTAAAGGAGTGATGACTATCCAAATGCTTCAGATAGGGGGCCGCATTCCTCATAATCTATCTTATAATAGTGTCTTGTGATCTTCATAGGCGCCGCGGGCATACACATTTACATTACACCTCACTTAGCTCAGTTTTAAAGAGGCTATATCAGCAATAAACATCCACATCAAAACCATATTTTATCTTAACATCGTTATTGTGAACTGAAAATACATTTAGCTGAATAGCCAAAAAGAAATGTTGCGAGAACAGCATATAAAATGTTCCTTATTCGGTGAGCGCGGTGTCCAGTAGTAACATGGTTTCTTGCAAAATAGTTGGTTTATCTGTTTATGTGCTTTTTGTATTTCAAGTGCAATTTAGGCCAAATTAGAGAGAAATCTTTTGACCTTAACACAGTTTTTTCTTAGGTTTTGATATCTTCTCTTCCTCTGTACTGTCTGTACTGATGCTCTCTTCCTCCTGACAGCTGCGTGTTAGTAAAGAACAGGAACACTTCCTGGTGCTGCCACACGGCCTGGCCTACAGCGAGGTGACCGGATCCAATCTGGTGAGTCACACACACACTTTAAAAGTAAAGGAAATGTGTAAAATAAATGGTATGTTTTTCACTGAAGTCATGGTTAACGCCTCGTTACTCCTCCTTATGTTTATTTCAGCGTGGAATTAGATTGGACTGAATCTATGTAATAGTATTTAAGTGAATCTTTTGGTGGTTTGGTTGGCTTTTTTCACATGCATTTCAAACGGCTTGCTTCCAGGTGAAGGTGAATATCGTGGGTGAGGTGGTGGAGAAGGGGAGCACCAACCTGGGCGTGGACACGGAGGAGTTCAGCCTTCACTCGGCCATCTACTCCGCCCGGCCTGACGTTCGCTGCCTGCTCCACCTCCACACGCCGGCCACCGCTGCTGTGAGTCACTACACAGAGTTAGCTTTAGCTCTGTTTTACCTGTAGGAGACACCATTATACTTCTGATGCTCACGTCCAGATTCAATTAGCTTCAATTAGCTTAACTGCCATAAAACTAAATGTTACAAGATTACATTTCAACACATCATGGTAACTGAATAGAGCTTGGATGCATTAGCTGCTAACAGCTAACAGCTTTGATAATGTATGACTATAAGGGAATATACAGTAGGGTTCTTCCTTGGGTGCTTTGATAGTGACTTTACTGAATTGATCATTACAGTAGAATAAGCCTACCATCTAAACTACATATTACGATGGCGTCGGCTAGGTGGCAGACTCTTGCAAGCATGTGTATATCTTATCTTATTATAAAGTTGGATGTAATTTCATATTAGCATTGTAACATTTGCAGCGTCTCCTTGTTCCGTTCGGTCTGATAACATGATATCATTGTCCAGCAGGGATTTGCTTGTAAAGCACTTTGTGACACTGTGAACATGAGCTTGTTGTTATGACCTTTTCTAACCAGGTTTCCTCGATGAAGTCCGGCCTGCTGCCACTGTCCCACGAGGCTCTGCTGGTCGGCGATGTGGCGTATTACGACTACAACGGGGTGATGGAGGAGGAGGAGGACAGGGTGGAGCTGCAGAAGAGCCTCGGTCCGACCTGTAAGGTGAGCGCAACACAAGAGCAAAGACATTTAGTCTGAAACACATGGATCGTTGCCTCAGGTTCCCATGTGGGTTGTTCATCTTCATGAATGAATGAAGCTCAGACTCAAGGTGATGTGATCTCCTCACTGGATTAATTATTGAAGCTGCTGCTGCTTGGAGACTAAATTAGGAGTCGGTCTTAGTGTGTCTTATAATACTACGGTTGCATTTCTCCATTACATACAGCTGTTGTATAATCGAATAAATGAAGGGATGTACCTCATAGTTTGAAGCTCCATTAGTAAAGTTCTCATTCAAAGTAAAAATTGTAATGTTGGGCAGCTATTTTTGTTCGAGACCTGCATAGAACTATTAAGTTATTCACCAACTATATGTTAATGTTAATGTCCATCTGTAGTCTTGGGAAGTCAAAACTAAATTGAATATTTTTCCTTTTTGTGTTATGACTTCACGACAGACATTCAGCTCAATTTAACAAACCTTTATTTGATCTTCAAACATGAAATAATACTACATTTCTGTTATGTGTAGGTTCTGGTGCTGAGGAATCACGGCATCGTGGCTCTGGGGGAGTCTGTAGAGGAGGCCTTCTACACCATCTTTCACATTCAGGCTGCCTGCCAGATCCAGGTATACACACACACACACACACACACACACACACACACACACACACACACACACACACACACACACACACACACACACACACACACACACACACACACACACACACACACACACACACACACACACACACACACACACACACACACACAGCACTGACTAACAGCTGACTAGAGAGCTGCCACTGCATGTAAGTGGGTGTGTGTGAGAGGGAAAGTGAGCTGGCATGTGATAATATTGTTGATGCATCATTTTTTGCCCTTCTCTCAGTTCTCTTTCCCTGTAACGCAGCCAGCAGCTCTGCAGTCCCGTACAGAGAGCAGAGTCTCGTGCCAAACACACACTGCAGTAATCCTACAGGAGCAGCAGTGTGGCTATAAGGTCGTTGGGCCTCATTCACCAATATTGCACTTAAATGAAATCTTGAGAAAGGTCCTAAGAAGTCTACGTCAGATTTATGACGTGTTCTAAAAGCGCAGAATTGTTCCAAACTGTATTCTGGGAGGCTGTGGCTCAGTGGGAAGTGTGCTGGACTTCGAATCAGGGGATAGCAAGTTCGAGTCCCACTGCAGTCAGCATGTCGTTGTGTCCCTGAGACACTTCACCCCAAATTGCTCCTGTGGGGATTGTCCACTGTACTGAATGTATCTAAGTCGCTTTGGATAAAAGCATCTAACAAATGACATGTAATGTGTTCATGTTAGGAAAATATCACTGGTCACCGGTTCGAGCTTCAATATCAGGATCCATGTATTTGTGATCCTCTCCAGAATGGAAGTAGTCATCACATACAGAGCATCAACTAGTTCCTGAACAGTGTCCTTCACATGCTGATATCCAAGAGAGGGAGTCACACAGTCACAAGATGGAGGAATAGAAAGCAGTATTCAATGTTTACTTCAGATTAGCTCCACGTCAGAAATGAGCATGCTTGTCATATGTCTATCTCCATAGAGGCTGAATCATCATGTTAATCACATAGCTATCATATGCCTAAAACCGTCCTGATGCTCTTCTAGGTAACCACACATCCTGCCATGTACACAGCTACAGTTGGGATACCTTTGTTATCATGTTACTCTCATGTTGGAAGAGTACATCCTTGTACATTAACACAGTGTGGCAGATAATCATAATTGCAGGTAAACTATGTGCCGATTGGCATAAAAAGGCACAGGACTGCAGATTAAGTCCCAAATAAAAGTGCCTATTCCCTCATTTAAGCTGATTTGCTGTCTGGAATATGCTGAATATAGTGTAGATTAGAAAATGTTGAATACATATGTTATCTTATTTATTTAGTTGTTATTATATATTATTTATTTTATGTATTAAAAATGATGTTTAGTAGATTTCAGTAGGTTGTTGAAGATTATGACAAACTGATTTTATTTATTTTGTTTTTACAATGTATTTATATTATTTATTCATATATAATGTTATATTTACTGTATATATGTGTGTGTACTTTGTATTCAGTATTATTGAATGCACTTATCTCATTTACATTTTCTTTTTATTGTTATTCAGTTAAATTACATTCTAATCTACTGCATTATTTTCTTATAAAAGAAGTACGTTTAATAAATTAATGATGTATTTGAAATCGATTCTGGCATACTGTAGATTTGTTTCCATGATCACAATACTCAAAAAGTAAAACCTTTTTTAGAAAAGACAAAATGTGAAAATGTGCTCGTTAACCTTTTCCAGAATTAGGACCTAAGAGAAGCTGCAGCTTGTTTTTAAAGGTCACCTATTATGCAAAATCCACTTGTTCATGTCTCTTCTACATCAACATGTGTCCCCTCTTCTTCATGTCTCTTCCACATCAACATGTGTCCCCTCTTCTTCATGTCTCTTCTACATCAACACGTGTCCCCTCTTCTTCATGTCTCTTCTACATCAACATGTGTCCCCTCTTCTTCATGTCTCTTCTACATCAACATGTGTCCCCTCTTCTTCATGTCTCTTCTACATCAACACGTGTCCCCTCTTCTTCATGTCTCTTCTACATCAACATGTGTTCCCTCTTCTTCATGTCTCTTCTACATCAACATGTGTCCCCTCTTCTTCATGTCTCTTCTACATCAACATGTGTCCCCTCTTCTTCATGTCTCTTCTACATCAACACGTGTCCCCTCTTCTTCATGTCTCTTCTACATCAACATGTGTCCCCTCTTCTTCATGTCTCTTCTACATCAACATGTGTCCCCTCTTCTTCATGTCTCCTCTACATCAACATGTGTCCCCTCTTCTTCATGTCTCCTCTACATCAACATGTGTCCCCTCTTCTTCATGTCTCTTCTACATCAACATGTGTCCCCTCTTCTTCATGTCTCCTCTACATCAACATGTGTCCCTCTTCTTCATGTCTCTTCTACATCAACATGTGTCCCCTCTTCTTCATGTCTCCTCTACATCAACATGTGTCCCCTCTTCTTCATGTCTCTTCTACATCAACATGTGTCCCCTCTTCTTCATGTCTCCTCTACATCAACATGTGTCCCCTCTTCTTCATGTCTCTTCTACATCAACATGTGTCCCCTCTTCTTCATGTCTCTTCTACATCAACATGTGTCCCCTCTTCTTCATGTCTCTTCTACATCAACATGTGTCCCCTCTTCTTCATGTCTCTTCTACATCAACATGTGTCCCCTCTTCTTCATGTCTCTTCTACATCAACATGTGTCCCCTCTTCTTCATGTCTCTTCTACATCAACATGTGTCCCCTCTTCTTCATGTCTCTTCTACATCAACATGTGTCCCCTCTTCTTCATGTCTCTTCTACATCACCATGTGTCCCCTCTTCTTCATGTCTCTTCTACATCAACATGTGTCCCCTCTTCTCCATGTCTCTTCTACATCAACATGTGTCCCCTCTTCTCCATGTCTCTTCTACATCAACATGTGTCCCCTCTTCTTCATGTCTCTTCTACATCAACATGTGTCCCCTCTTCCTCATGTCTCTTCTACATCAACATGTGCCCCCTCTTCTTCATGTCTCTTCTACATCAACATGTGTCCCCTCTGTGTAAAGAGATTCTGAAAGTTTCAGGAACAAAGATTCTCTCACTTTTTGTCCTGATCCATTTCTATAAAAACCTGTCTGAAAATGAGCTGATCGAATTTTGGCCACTTTGTGATGTCATAACGATGTGTTGTCTTGTGTAACCATTAGCCAATCACCAACCAAGGTAACCCCCCCCCCCCCCCCCCCCCCCCCCCCCCCACACACCTTATCACCTGAATCTCCTCCTAGAGCACCATTGTGTTCTTTGTAACCAAATCTCTCTCAGAGGGGCGTGGGGAGGGGCTCCTTATTTTCATCTAAAGTAACAGACAGAGAATCAGCTCTTTGGAAACAGGGCTGAAACAGAGGGGATTATGGGTAATGCTGCAATTATCTGTTTGGTGTTTGGAGCCAAACACTTCAGACACATGTTCTGTATCTGAGACCTATGATATATTGATGAAAAAGAGTATAATAGGGGACCTTTAATGTGTTTTATTATTGTATTGTAGGTGTCAGCTCTGTGCTGTGCTGGTGGAGAACAGAACCTGATCATGCTGGATCGGAGCGTCCATAAACCCAGCGTGGCCGGCACCGTGGGCTGGGCCGGGTCCACCTTCGGACCGCTGACCAAGACCCGCATCGGGGAACACGAGTTCGAGGCCCTCATGAGAACCATGGATAACCTGGTAGGCTGAACTCAAATAAACATACTGTGACATGTGTCAAGTGAAGATTAATACATGTATTATACATTAAAAAAAGTTACTTTCTTTACACATGTAGTTCAGTTAAATACAAATAAATATATTTAATGGTGTAAAATTATAAAAAATAAAAATATAGGACTGTAAAGTAATAAAAGACAATTCAAGCTTTAACATGAGCAAGGTAAAAACAATTATTACGTGTAATAACATTGAGTTAAAGGCTGTAATACCATTAATGTGGTAAAAACTATAAACGTTAATAAGTGATTGAAGACAATAACATCTTTCTACAATAAAATAAGGTTATAAAACAAAGTTACCTCTTGTGCTGTGTGGGAGGTTTGCTGATTCACCCTGCAGCTCTTTCTCTCCGCACTCCTCTACTGCAACATAAAGACTGTTTCACTGACAAAGTATCCTTCTGTGTAGACCAAGTTTCATTTAACATTAGCAGCTAAATGTCCCTAGGTCTTTTATATAGAGTTTCCTGTGTTTACTGTAAATGAGCATTGCATCTTTCTGCCTTGAGAACATTGGTCTGATTCTCTCGAGTAATATTCTTCTATTACGACATCAACCAAAATATTACTCTTTTATTATCAATTCATTATATTTATAAAATGGAATAGGTCCAGTGCTGTTACCTTGAACGTTTCACAAAGCCCACTGCGTTTTAAAGCAGATCAAAAATGCTGCACCACAGCGGATAGGTATTCCATCTGATATCAAAATAAACATTTATAAACCCTTATCTTAGTAACTCCTCTCGCAGTGTCCCGCAAAATGAAGCCAGCTGTCCTGCTACAGAGCAATAATGAGGTGGCCACCCTAACTATGACATGCAGAAATATAATGACTAGACAATATGAAAATGCCTGAATAGACAAAGAAATATTATACCCTCACATCAACTAAAGTCCTTTAAGGTAATTCAACCTAAATGTGATCAATACGTTGCTATATGGTCAATGCACATCATTTTTTTATTTAACACAATCATGTGAACTCAGAATAAATCCAAAGTCAAATTCTGCTCCATTTCCTGAAGCTGCTCCACAATAAAAGCCTAAAAGCTTTCCTGCGGTTTGCAAAGCTTTTAATGTAAAGCGGCAGCATTTAATGTTCAGTTCACATCAGTAGATATGATTTCTTACACTTTACTACACAAAGGCTACCAAAGTACTGAAACGAATTAAAGTGACTAAAGACTGGACACACGGGGAAACATCTAGCCTGGCTCTGTCTGAAAGTAACAAAAGCTTCCGCTCTGCTAAAGCTCCCAAACAATGTCTACAACCTTATTTTATAATTTAAAATCAGAAAACAGGGTGTCTTGAGTTTTTGTCGGGGTGAAACAAACAAGATAAAGTGTGTAATTAAGTTCAGTGTAAGAGGGGCTGTTGTTCTAGAAAGTGAATGTGCCTAATTCCTAAAACGTTATATATTCCTTTAAATGCCATGCAAAGATCACATTAACCGAACCTTTTCTGAACAATCTGTCCAACATTTAGACGGATTTAAAACCATAAGGGGCAAGATGTTTTATGTGTTGACATGAAAATGTAACACAAGGTCTCCGTTCATCTTTCCTCACATGTCCTTATAACTGCATAATTTAAGCTTGTCCTATATATACATTATTTAAGAACTCACACACACACACACACACACACACACACACACACACACACACACACACACACACACACACACACACACACACACACACACACACACACACACACACACAGTGCATACCCTCGTTTCTGTGGTCTTCGACCTCAATCCAAAAGTCAAAATGTTGTGAATTCATCAGACCACACATAATGGACAGCTATCCGACTGTAAGGAAACATAAGCAAGCTTTTGACAAATAGTGTGTTGGATTATAAGACTACTTTTAATTAAGTTAAAGTCTCAGTATAATTGTTGTCCCCTGATTGATGACAGCTTGACATTATCTGGTACAGTAAGTGTATTTTGTATGCATTAGAAAAGTGGCTGATATTATAAATATGTCTTAAGGTACCAATACTAATGACGAAGCATTGATGAGAAGATCCTCTTAAATAATCACACCATGATCCTTTTAATGTATTTTTTAATGATAATCAGAATGATAATTTAAAAACAATCAATCCCACCAATATTAGGAATTAGATGCACATTTGCAATATCAGTCAATCTCTCTGTCTGTACACACAAACTGAAAGATTGACAATAAAGTTGACTTTCACTTTGAAATAATCACAAGTAGTTATTTTTTCCAAATGGTGCATCTGAGTCAGTTAGTCTGAATCTTGTGCCTCCTCTTGTCCTCCAGGGCTACCGTACAGGATACGCTTACCGCTTCCCGGTGCTGCTGGAGCGTTCGCGGACAAGGAGGGATGTGGAGGTGCCGGCCACAGCGACTGCTCACCACCAGTTCGATGACGACGGGGTGCACCCGGCTCTGAGGCAGCACCCGTTCGCCCAGAGGCAGCAGCAGGAGAGGACCCGCTGGCTCAACACCCCCAACAGCTACCAGAAAGTCAACCAGGAGCTGAACAGCCCGGGGCAGCGCACCACTGTGAGTGTACTTTTGATTTAATCAGAGGTGGGAAGTAGTGGAGTACAAATACTTTGTTACTGTACTTAAGTACATATTTCTGGTATCAGTAATTTACTCCACTACTTATTTTTCTGATTACTTTTTACTTTGACTTCTTACATGTTGAACTCAAATACCTGTACTTTCTACTTCTTACATGTTGAACTCAAATACCTGTACTTTCTACTTCTTACATGTTGAACTCAAATACCTGTACTTTCTACTTCTTACATGTTGAACTCAAATACCTGTACTTTCTACTTCTTACATGTTGAACTCAAATACCTGTACTTTCTACTTCTTACATGTTGAACACAAATACCTGTACTTTCTACTTCTTACATGTTGAACACAAATACCTGTACTTTCTACTTCTTACATGTTGAACACAAATACCTGTACTTTCTACTTCTTACATGTTGAACACAAATACCTGTACTTTCTACTTCTTACATGTTGAACTCAAATACCTGTACTTTCTACTTCTTACATGTTGAACACAAATACCTGTACTTTCTACTTCTTACATGTTGAACTCAAATACCTGTACTTTCTACTTCTTACATGTTGAACTCAAATACCTGTACTTTCTACTTCTCACATTTCCCAAACAGCTGGTTCCTTTAGTCTGAATGTGTGTTTGGTGCGTGATCATTATTCTTTAGAGTCATTGCGTGCCTATTGATTTGAACACGATCCGTGTATCCATAATTTCCTGGTCTTCTCTAAAGAAGAGGGACCAATGGAAACGTTGTCATGTTGCCGTTGTTCAGCATGGAAACATTCATTAGCTAACAACGACATTATTGTTCTATTAATATAAAGGGAGGTCAGGTACTCTTTAAAACAGCTTCTAGTTATGGGTACTTTTTATTTAAGTACACTTCGAAGCCCATACTTCTTTACTTTTACTTGAGTAAAGAGGTTTAGTCAGTACTTCTACTTTTACAGGAGTATTTTTAAACACGAGTATCTGTACTTCTACTCGAGTAAAGGATGTGTGTACTTTTGCCATATCCGGATGTATTGAACAAATCACAATATGGAGGGAGTTCAAAAATTGTCTAAAGGAAAATTGATGACCAGACTTAGAAAATAACGGTCCAGGCTGGAGCGCTAAAACATGCATTATCTGTAAGGTTATTGCAACATCCACAATTTAGTGCCGACTATAGCTGAGACTAAGGATTACTATAATCATCCAGGCATCTACTGATTGTATTTTTAAATTAATGGGTTTATCAGTTGGTATAAAAATATCATTGGCAACATCTGAGCTCAATTTTTGTGAATTTATATATTTTTTGAAAAGACAAAGTTCTAATGAATGCTGCAAGTAGTGCTCAAACTCACCATTAATCCCCTGATTGGTTAATTTGAAGATTATTTTCTAACTGAATAAATTATCGACCTAATTGTCAGAAAATAGTGACTTTTATTCTTCCCAGTTTTTAAAAGTCCAAGGCGAGGTCTTGTTTTGTCTATCGGAAACCAAAATATCTTCATTTCAAAATAATATACTAAGATATCTGTATTTCAGAAGCTGAAAGCAGCATTTTCTACAATCTTTGCTTTACAAATAACTCAGTATTTGACCTGTTATCAAAATAGTTGTAGAGATATATTCTGACACCTGGCTTATTGATTGATTGATTGATTGATTGATTGTGTGTGATGTTTCCTTTCAAAGTTGGAGATGAAGACTCTCTAATGACATGAAGGTTTAAAGAAGGAGATAGAGCTGAGGGATCAGAGGGGGATTCAAGTGATTGAAGGGAACAAGCTTGGCGATCATGGCTGATGCAAGGAGGAGAAACAGAGCAGTTAACTTAACATCTTTCTGATGATTTGAAAATAAATTGGTTACATGAAATGTTCATTCGACGAGTTTCTGTATCCAAGACCAACACTGTTCTCTCTGACTCTGATGGGTGTTGATTTGCACTGTAGAGCATGTATTCCTGTGTACCTTGGAGAATACATGAGGCAGAGCTGCAGTGATGAGTCCTGTTGAGACAAAAACAATATGAGGCTGGTTCTCTTACATCAGTGGGAGGAGCTTGTCTCCCCCTCTCTGTTTCCTCCCTCCTCCCTCTCTCCTCTCTCTGCATTGCAGAGGAGAGCCGCTGCTCTGTGAGGATCAGAGTCTGCCCTCTGGTGGAAAAACATCCACATTTTCAAAGCTTAAAAAACATACTTTCTAAGGGGTTAAAATCGTTTTTTAAGCAAGCAAATGACTAAATGATGTACGCCAACGTGATGATATCATGACTTGATATCTCAAAGTAATTACTTAATATTGCAAAATCAAAAGAACGTTTCTTATTATAAAGATTTACATATCTCAAAATACTGAGAATCTTTCATAAAGCATTATTTTATGAAACTAAGTTATTATTTTGTCATGCTAAGTCATTTTTTGTAGACACTTGTTAATGGAAATAATTTTAATTACTAAGTAATTCGTCTCTTTATTTCAAGAAAGTGCGTCTCGTGTGACTAACAGGATATTTTGTTCTTATTTTTTCTATTACTGGCAGACATTGACTTTACACTAAATCACACAGACTGGATCCTTTACACTTTGGACACGTTGAGTCCTAAACCTTTGCCCATTTGGTTATTTTAAGTGGATTATGATATATTATTTTGTATGTCTTTCTTTAGTGGTTGAAGTCCGAAGAGATAACACAATCTGGAAGCACGGCCATCAAGATGGAGACCAACCAGTTTGTGCCTCTTTTCACCAACCCTCAGGAGGTGATCGCCACACGAAACAAGGTGACGTTTTCAATAGTTCCTATCTTTTCAGACTTGGCTAATGTAACCCTGCAAACTGCAAGAATCTTGACTTGCAAGTCTGAATCAACTGAAACATCACACTCCCTATTTACACATTTATTTCCGTGATGACATGGATCTTTGGGCAGGAGCTCCAACAAGCCGTTTAGGACAGAGTGAATACACATACTATACAGAGATGCTGTATGAGAAACCAATGTGAGTTTGGAAAATTGCACAATGTAAATCTATTCTAGTATACCTCAACAATGGAATTATGATCAGTGGAAATGGCCATGACTTGGAACCTTTAAAAACAAACATAAAACACTCAAATTGCTCAGATTAAGAAAGAAGATTCTTAGAAAATTACTGTTTAAAGCCCCAGAGTTTAAATTGCACATACAAAAAAACAATTTTGCACTATGAAGTTGAACCTTTGGGACGTTAAAATTATATGATAATCATGCATTTTATTGCAAATTGGAAATGTTGTGGGTGATAGGCATGGCATCGTGTACAATGTAAGCCTCCAGAAGAGATAAAGTAAGTAAATAAATACAAATATAATAGGACATGAAGGCTAGTTGTATCAGGTTGATCATCTAAAAAAGCCACACAATATTAAAGATGGCTTGTTAATGTGTTGTGGAGAAGAACACGACTCTCAGATCAAGAATAAACCAGGTGGATTCAGGTGCAGCCAGCGGGGTTTATTGACTGCTTATACTCAGTACTGGTCAGGGGCGGACTGGGACTACAAACCAGCCCGGGACTCTCGTACGGCCCACTTCGGTACCGCCGGCCCACTTCAGTACCGGCCCATCGGGATTCGTCCCGATGGCCAGTCCGCCCCTGGTACTGGTCTTCTTTTAATGCCTCATATCTATTGCTATCAGTGTCACAGTGACATGTTCCTACTATCCTCTTACAGTTTGTTTTAATACAACAGTTGTGTTGTCGGGCAGTGTGTGTAACCTTTGACATTTGCTACTAAAACACTGATACTTATTTTATTCTACTACAGTTGTAACTAACCATTGCCTGATTAAGCTCTCAAACTGAAATGTTGTAAATAAATATTCCGTTTTTTGCAAGTTAGGCAGTGTGCAGTTTGAGTTTATTTGCAACTTTAGATCCTCTCAAACTTGTCTATGCTTCTCTCTCATGTAATATAGTTGCAAAGTTGTCTTCTGGTCTATTTTTGCATACTATCTATGTGAAACAAACGAGACTTTTTGTTCCTCTCCTCAGATCCGACAGCAGAATCGCCAGGACATGAAGACGGCTGGACCGCAGTCTCAAGTCCTCGCCAGCGTTATAACGGTCGACAGTCCTCCGGTAAACTGCAGACCATCTCCTCTCTGAGTGCTCCTCCCTCAGCTGTCGTATTAAAAGCTTTCATTGTCTGTCTCTGCTTGTCTTTTAGTCTCCTGTGGACACTCCTAAAGTCCCACCAGAACCAGAACCTCCCAACCCCTTCAACCAGCTGACGGACCAGGAGCTGGACGAGTACCGCAAGGAGGTGCAGAAGAAACAGGATGGAGGAACCAACGGTAGGATTCATTTCACACGACTCAGCCCACTTTATAAACTCTATTTAGATGTTTACCTTGCAGTTAAAAAAAATCATAATAGTAACTGCATACGGTCTGTTTACACTTTGGCTTAGAACTCGATTTGTAATATACACATTTCTGTTACTGTGACTTATTGTAAAATGGACACAGTCACATTTCTTCCGTTTATTTAAATATATTTTTGCATTTTTTTATTTGACTTCTTATCTTTATATATGTATATATTTAGTTTTTTGCTATTTTTTTAATTTAATTTCTTGTGTTTTATATGAATATTTTAGGGGATAAATGAAACACAATATAGCTATTAAGAGTTAATTCCCTGTGCTTTATATGGATCAAAGTATGTTTGAGTTTTACCCATATGTGATAGTTTGAAGGAACACTTCAACCAAAAAACTGTCCTTTTTATATTAGTTACTTATTCTTCCTCTGTGGGTGAAGCTTTCCTTTTTTCATTTATTATTTTCAAAAATGTCTTAAGCAACTGACTTATCGTTAATATTGAATCATCTTATTGATTTTACCTTTCATGTACTTCTGGCTATATAAACGTATTATATGTAAAGTAAAGGTAGCTCACTTCCACTTATGATAAATTGCACATTTTCCTCTAACCTTCTTAAAGGTGCTATGTGTAACCAATGACTGCCAACAACACTATATATTCTATTATAGTTGTACCAAATGTTTTCACAGTTTCGTGCTATAAAGCATGATTTATACCCCTTCTGAATTCATGTTTTCTGGTACAACATGTTTTAAAATATTCAAAAACGAATTGTTCACTTATCTAAGTTGTATTTGTCGAGGTTACACACAGCTCCCTGAACAAACTTGTGTCTGTGGTGTACACTATGTTCACAACTCCTGACTTCCTGCACAGCCTCACTGTCCCTCCCTATGTGTGACTGTGTGTTTGTGTGAGTAGGGGAGGAGGTGGCAAATGACAAGGAGTCTCCCCCCTCTGCCTCCCCCACAGAGAGTCCCCCTCCTCTCTCAGGTGAGGCCGTTCACGCTCTGCACGCCGACCAGCAGCTGCTCCGAGTCTGACATCTGCCCTCATGCTCCATACGCTTCTGAAAACTGTGTTACACCTCTTTAAACCCAGCTCACACACACATTCAGAAACAACTGTATTAAACCTCCTTATTTATTTAAATTGCCCTATCAATAGAAATTAGATAAACATTAGACTGTTCTGCATCTTATTCCAGGTTGTTTAAGCTCTGTAAAAACAGCCATCACTTTCAACATACAGTAATACAATGATTTGAGCTTGTTCTATAAAGGCCTATATAAGAGGGTAACAGCAAAACAATGTTTTAAAACAAATAATAAAAAATCTATAATTGAATTACATTTTAACGCAGACTACAATTTAAAATTCTAAATAAACACACAACCTCAACACAGCACAAATAAAAACAACATGTAAGCGCAAAGTGCTGGAAAAGGTTTGCATGTTATATTTGAAGGCGTAACATGGGCTGTTTTTGTTACCATGTGTTAGTGATGTTTCTCATGAAAGACATTTTGACTCAAACTAACCGAAAAATACAGGAGGAGGTGAAAAGTATTAATAAAGCTTTCTTTACTTGTATATCTTCCAGTGAGCAGGCATTGCCCTGAAAATGACTCAAAGTGAATGGAGAATATTTCTGTTATGAGTCAAAATGTCTGTTATTTTGGCTTTATTTACATTACATATTTCATCTGTACCGACTGTGTTGTACTCTGTCTGTCTGTCTGTCCTTTTCTGTGTGACTGACTCGTAGGGCACACTTCTGGTGCTTTGGTCTTCTCTCACTAGTAAGTACAGAGAATGACAACCCACCACCCATTTAACTAATACTTCACTACCAAAATAATCATTTGTACATCAGTAACCTTTGTTGCCTTGAATTTGTGAAGAACATTTTATTTTTCTCACGTGTTCCCCGGGAAACAAGGATGAGAAAAATGAGAATATTCTAGATGAATCTTTGTTAAATCCTGCTGACAAAAACCAGTTTTCTTCCCAAATTCAATGTAACCCAGGGTGAATAATTGCAGTTCAATAGATCATTTTGTGGATGAAATATTCCTTTTAATGAAGCATGTTCATCTGCAGTGACATGTCCAGCATGTAGCTTTGCAGCTGCACTCCTCTCAGCTCTCTTCAGAGTTGGCAAAAGTACACACGTCCTTTACTCGAGTAGAAGTACAGATAAGCGTGTTTAAAAATACTCTGGTGAAAGTAGAAGTACTGACTAAACTTCTTCACTCAAGTAAAAGTAAAGAGGGCTTTGAAGTGTACTTCAGTAAAAAGTACCCATAACTAGCAGCTGCTTTAAAGAGTACTTGACCTCCCTTTATATTAATAGAACAATAATGTCGTCGTTAGCTAATGAATGTTTCCATGCTGAACAACGGCAACATGACAACGTTTCCATTGGTCCCTCTTCTTTAGAGAAGACCAGGAAATGATGGATACACGGATCGTGTTCAAATCAATAGGCACGCAATGACTCTAAAGAATAATGATCACGCCACCAAACACACATTCAGACTAAAGGAACCAGCTGTTTGGAAAATATAAGAAGTAAAAAGTACAGGTATTTGTGTACAAAATATAAGAAGTAGAAAGTAAAAAGTGGTCAGAAAAATAAGTAGTGGAGTAACGTACTGATACCAGAAAAATGTACTTAAGTGCAGTAACGAAGTATTTGTACTCCACTACTTCCCACTTCTGGCTCTCTGTGAATGTTGCTCATTACTTTATGTTTTTTTTTTTTATTGGAGCAGAAGAGGCAAAGCCCGAGTCTCCAGCCATACAGAATGGAGGCGAGGAGGAGAAGCAGACGACGGAGGAGCTTGAGAAAGGGATGAAGGCTCTTTCCACCAACGACACCAACGACACCACCTCCACGCCCACCGCTCTGCCGCCCAAACCACAAGGCGGCACCCCCGAGTGCTCGCCCTCCAAGTCCCCGTCCAAGAAGAAGAAGAAGTTCAAGCCGCCGTCGTTCCTGAAGAAGAGCAAGAAGCAGAAGGAGAAGGCCGAGACCTGAGGCGTTCAGGGACACCTGACCTCGGTGAAATACCACAGTGAAACATCTCCTTAGTGTGTGCCAGAGTTAACCGCAGCAGCAGATCTAGTGTCAGTTCAGATGTCCTTCACAGACACGATGTACTAACTTCACTTACAAATACTTTACTGTAACACTGATGCTCGATCCAAGTGGTGATTCATCTTAAGGGAGACACTGCAGGTGAACAGGCTTAGTTTATTAACTAATAGATAACGCAATTATACTTCCTCAGTTGATTGAAGACAATTATATTTTGTACCAAACCATAAATCAGTTTCTACCATCATTTTTTTTAGATAAAACATTCTATAAACCGAAGAGTGTGTGAACAAACCCTCGTTAATAACCCTCAGAATAAACATAGGCATGAATGTTTGGTTAATGTTCAGTAATTGCTACTGAAGTGGAATTTTCTGACTCATTTTGAGAAAACTGCCTTCAAAGATATACACTGTAAAATTCATTTTTACACACTACAGGAGAATAGGGTAACAAATAACCTGTTAAGACATCAACATGAAACTCCCTCCAGTTACTTACATGAAGAAATGTTGGTTTAAATATGCAAAAGAACCATCATCTAATGCTAACTTTTGGTGAATTAAGTAAAAATCTACAAAGGCACACATTTGTTTTTCTTATATTTCCCTTCCAGTAATATTACATGTTACTTGTTCAACGCTTTTATCCAAAGCGACTAACATACTCAATACTGTGGACAATCCCCACAGGAGCAATTTGGGGTGAAGTGTCTCAGGGACACAACGACATGCTGACTGCAGTGGGGTTTGAACCTGTGACCCCCTGATCCGAACACCGACACACAACCCACTGCACCACACGCCTCCACCCCATGTGAAAATAATATGAAAGATATATTTGCCTGTAGTGTCTCACCTTAGGTTAAAGGACACTGATCATGTTTTCACGCAGTATTTGACCCAGGTCAACCTGATGCTTCTTGTCACACACACTCAGTCCCTGTATTACTCACGTCTTATTTTCACCTGCTGTGCTATCAAACCATTACTTAACTTCACTGTATAGGCATTCAAACACTCTTTCTTAAACTTAGTTACTTGTGCACTCAGAATTTGTTTCATACCATTGATTTGTAATCCACAACTTTGCAAGACACGGCAGACATTTAACACCCCTTGAATTATGCACCAATTATCCATGTAAGAGGCACTTGACATATGTATATTGACATTTTAGTACGTTGTATTTGTTCATCATCATAGGCATCTTCTAGTCATTATTTGGTTTTAATTATCAGATAGATGTTGCAGGTATACTCTGTGAGCACAGGTGCAGTACATGTAGAAATACACTGATAGCTTCTGATTGTGCTCCTCTGAATGCTGGTTCTGTGTGAAAATATCAGCCTATTGACGTTATTGCAGCAGGGAAGAATAAAGAAAAACTGACTCGCAACAAAACACAAGTCGCTTTAAATGCCTCTATTAACCCGAAAAAGGATGAAGCATAAATAATTTGTTGCTTGCCGATGCAGTTTGAAACCCAGTAATAGAAGATACTGACGGTACTAAACATTCCACTTTTCTCATGTTCTTTTAAGTGTATGTGTGCAAAATACCTCTTGAGAGTTGTATTTATTTTCAGTTGTAACCAGTAGCTGTTATCAGATATGCTGATGTGTGATGTTTGCTTATGGTTTTAATTTATTTTATATTAGAATGTATAAGTGAGTGTTGCAAGGTGACCATGTATCAGTCATTAAAGATCAAGTTTGATTTAAAATCAACTGGACATATGGTTTACGTTTCTTTCTCTGCTTGTTTGACCATTTGAAGTCCTTATTAAAGTACTATTATTTGTACTAAATAAGGACCCACCGTGACAAGGGTGTCACATGCACTTTAAATGTTCTGGAAAGTTCCTTATACAGCTTTAGCCTGCTCAGTTAATTTAGCTGATTCAATTATATTGAGTTGATATGTTCTTATTCTTCAATTCAAAGAATGTTCAAACTAATTTAAACCAAAAAATCATCCTCCTTAATGAAGTTATATATAAGAGTTATTTTACCATTAAAGTCCAATGTGACATATATGTCACATTTCAGATATTTAACACCAGGGGGGATTATTTTCAGAAATGTGTTCTAGGTGGTCTATTTAGTCTAAATTATGTTCCCCTTAATTTCCTCAAAAGTAGAAATGGGTCCGGGTTCTTATGACAACGAAATACCATACAACATGTTTTTTAAAGAGAAGACAATACAAATAACTAATATATCTGTGATCACATGAATAAGTAAATTACTAAATGAATGTACATTTAAAAATACTAATATGAAAAATAGACAAATCATGTGTCATGGTATTAATATTTTTTGTATTCATGGTAACAGTTGAACATTTAAACTACATCATTATTTATATAGCATTTATATAAAATTAGTTATTCCTTTCGTTTAAATTGAGAACCATTGATATAGCTCTAAAACAGGCGGCGACTTTCCTCCACGTCGGTAGAGGGCGCTCTAATGCAGGAAGCTAACCGGAAGTTAGCATAGCAACGGACAACAGACCATCCTGCATTGAAGTGGTAGCCATACAAAACAACCCACAGTTTGGTAAAGATTCTCCCCTTTAATTGTATTATATTCAGTAATACCTTTAACTACTAGGGTCACTGTTGTTTCATAAGAACATGGGCAGGAGCAGGAGTCGGACTCCTCCAAGACGAGGTAAGAATACTTAGAAGTTATCGTTAGCTACCTAAGCTAATTTAGCTAACGTAAACACAACGCATGATGCTACCGAGCTCCAAACATAACACGTTATCTTATTTCACAGTATAAGAAAGCAGACATTACCACAATGTGACAATTAAATTAACACACTAGAAAGGAAAACATTATTAACGTCGCATGTTTACTACAACACACTACTACACTAATAATCCGATGTTTCTTAATGTAACCATAACAACGGGTTCATGTTAATTTATAGTCAGTTAAAACTGGGTAATACATATATTGAATTTGAATGTATATGGGTTTGAAGTAGTCTGAGTATGTGAAGGCTCACAGTAAATTCTAGAAAGTGCAGAATTATAGAAGCTATATCACGATAGATTGTTTTCGTCTATTAGCATTCTTTTATTTTAGACCTCCATGAGTTGTGTCCTAACTCCTAAATAAAGTCTGATTAGAATTGAAAATGTAATTTGTAATACTTCTGTTTGAATCAACTGGACAGATACAAATAAATCTCATTCAATGACGAAGTTTCTTGCAAACATAGCATATTTCAAGCTATACACCTACTATGTTTACATGCATGCACACAAATGTATTTTTTTGGGGTGTTATTTGTCTTACTTTGTATCTTCTTTAACTGTGTTTTATGCAGTCTATCAAGTACATCAAGGACAATTCCTCGTATGTGTAAAACTACTTGGCAATAGACCTGTTTCTGATTGGGAAATACAGATGAAACCTGAGTCCAGTTTTTTAATCACATCGACTGATTTAAAGGGTGATGTAAGAACTTTGATCTTTACATGATGCTCCGTAAAAACATCACATTTTAGGAAACATTTGAGTTGGTTTGTGCTTGTTATTGTCAATTTAGATTACATCCTTTTCAAATATGTGACTGAATTTCTACACATTTGACCTTTCATTGCGGGGCAGGGTTTCAAACTATACACTTTAAAGGCACGTTGGTTAAGATCAGCCTTACCTTATATGTAGATCTGTACAGTATTTTAATGTGTTCTTGCATATTCAGGCGGCCAAGTTCTACCTGAGGTCGAGAAGTTAAAGAGTAAAGGTAACGTGTCCTGGAAACAATGTAATATCTGTATTATATCAACAACAATATACATTTGCATGAAGAATGAATAGGCACTCTTATCCACCAATTAAACAGAAACATTATTAACTTAAATGTTCATGCGAAATGGGCCGAAAAATGCAGATGTCCTGCTTTTCTCTGTTAAATATCAGATGAAAGTGCTTTTTTTAAATTGTATTTTAGTAACTGAAAATAAAAGACATTTAAAGACTTGAGCTTGGACTAACTAACTGGATATTTCTCACTACTTTCAGGCATGTTAGAGACCCAATAGATTGATCAAGCTAATAATAGAAATAATTATAATTGTCAGTCCTACGTGTGGCATACATTGCAATCTGTCTTTGCAAAAGTAAACTACAAATACACTTTAATTAGACACGCATGGAGCCAACAGATGGATGAGGTTAAGCCCTTTTTAAATCACACCTCTTAATGGTGTGTGGAACACTGTTATTGTGTGGATGCCCATAAGGCTTGTTATATTTCTCAGTTCCCGGCTAATATGATCTTGTTCCCCTGCAGAGAGAAAGCGCTCCCGCTCCACTTCTCGGGATCGTGAGCGAAGGCGAAGGGAGAAGGAGCGATCCCGTTCTCGAGATCGCGAGCGCAGGAGAAGTCGCTCCAGATCTCCTCACAGGAGACGATCCAGGTGAGGAAACGTTTATGGAAGACTGGATGGGATTTCTCTTAGCCACGTTTCTTTTTAAATTATATTTATGTCTGGGGTTTCATTTCATTTCAAACCTTTATTTAATCAGATTGGTCCCATTGAGACATAGATCATAGATCTCTTTTTCAAGGGAGACCTGCAGCATATAGGTTCCACATGAAACATAAAACAATAAAGGACATCATACATTATATTTACAGGATACATTTACATAGTTATTCTTGATTCCTTTTATGATTGCAGTGTGCTATTTAGATTTTTAACACAAAAGTAGGATAAATATTACATTTGAGACTTAATGTGTTTTATATTGTCAACAAATATGAGTCTCAGTAATTGTCAAAGTCTAGCTTTGTTTTGAATGATTGCAGTTCATGTATGGTACTATTTGCCTTTTGAGAACAAGCACATGTATCTGCAAATGAGACTTTGTGTTTGTCATCCATGATCCTATCCTCCCATGTTTTTGTGTGTTAATGAATAATGTGAATGCCAATTTATGAAATAAGTGCAGTATTACTGCTGCGGTAACACTGCAACAGGAGGCCACTTAACGTGTGACGCAATGTGGGCCATTTTGCACCGCGATACATTTCTCTGTAGGCTCCTTTTCCCTAATTAGATTTGACAGTTATAAAATGTATGCCTGGGGTAAAAGCAAACCCTTTAAGTGGTTGTCCTTTGCTGAACGATGGCATTGAAACCTGTATTGTTGTCTCCGTTAGACACTATGGCGCGTTTCCACTACACGGCCTCGCTCGTTAGGACTGGCTCACTTCGTTAGGACTGGCTCACTTCGTTAGGACTGGCTCACTTTATGGCGTGTCTCCATTACAGTTTAGGAACTGGGGTAGTATCTATAGTAACGCAGTGTAGGCGGAGCTATCGGCTTTTTGGCGGCGGAGCGACGCCCACTCGTGTTGTTGTTGTCGTCCTTCACTACGCGATACTCACTCTTCATCCTTTTCAGTTTTTCCCTAAACTGCAAGACAGTCCTCGAGTAACCGCTTCCGCACATCAGTGTAGAGACCTCCTGAAATACTTTCATATTGCGAGTTGTCCCGTCGAGCTCCCGCTGGATCTTGTCATCTGCAATAAAGTGTAGGAACGTCGTAACTTCCTCGGCGGACCACGGTGTGCTTTTCTTTGCCATTTTTGTTGATCCTCTGTTAACAAAAATGCTGTTTATAAAAATGCTGCAAGCTTCGATATATATATATATATATATATTTATATGCGACGCGTCGCATATATTGCGACGATTCTCTCTGACCAATCAGCAGTCGAGAGTGACGTCACAGCCTGGTTGTTCCTGGCCCTAGAACCCCGATTTTATGGGGCCAGAAAAACTGTGAATTAGGACCCGCTAGCCGGTACTAGGCCAAGTGAAAACGCAAACCAAAAGCGGGCCGCTGACGTCACAGCCCTCTTAAACGGGGGCTCCGCGCTGTAGTGGAACCGCGCCATTAGACACCAAAACATGAAAACATTAGGTCCAGGTATTAGACTTACACAAATGATGACCATTATATTCCCTTTAAGTTGCAGAAGCATCCTGCAGTTATTTCACATTTCCTCGTGTCCCCTGCAGGTCTCCCCCCAGACGCCATCGCTCCACATCCTCCGAACGGCGTGATGAGGACAGCAAAGAGCCAAAGGAAAAAGCTGCAAAGCCAATTCTGATCTCAGGTATTCAAATGTTAATGTTCCCCTATGCTATATTGACATGCATTTAAAAAGACTTTCAGCTTTGACAAACATTTAGGTTTTCGGCAAAACTTCAAAAGCATCCTTTCGTTTTCACAGAGGAAGACATGGAGGGCAAAACCGAAGAGGAGATTGAGATGATGAAGCTGATGGGATTTGGTTCCTTTAACTCCACCAAGGTGAGAGCACAGGGTGTTCTGTGGTGTGCAGCCACAAGGAGGCGCACTTTATTCCAAATACCGTTTTTTATTCCACATTCCACTGAAGATAGACATACTGTTTGTTTTGTCCTTGCCAATTTGTCATAGTTATGCTCTGAATTTGCCCAAACACATGGTGACTGCCCACAGTATCATTAGAGGTAGATCCTGATTATTTAGTGGTCAACATTCACATATCATCTACTGTGCTTTATTGATGATGTGACGGTGGTCTTGCTTCTATTGCAACATTTATCCTCCTTTGACAATGAAGTGCTGAAATGTGTTCTAATTGATATTTATAATGACTCTTTTTCTGGACAACCATCAACCTTCAATTGCTAACTTGGGGTAAAATATAACACTACAAAAACGATATGAAAACATCTGTTTGCAAACTCTTTCACGACCAATGCAGTGTAATCCAAGTCTCATTAATCTAGTCGTATGCTTACTACTTCACACATATGACTGTCTCTAAAACCTTCCTATTTAAAGCTCTTTGGATAATCAGTGTCATGTTACACTTGCTACTGTTTTATGTGTAATGGTAATGTTTACTGACCAATAACACAGTGTACATTATTTTCTTAACTTGGTATTTCCAACCGCTGTACATTTTTATTATACGTTTTATAGGAATACAGATTTGTTTTAAAGATTTTTATCTCCAAAAAATGATCCTCACAAATAAGTTCAGTGTAGAAAATGAAAAATAGGAGTCAAGCAGATTCTACTACATTTACAGAGTTCCTGCATATTCTCAGGGTCTTAAGTCACAACATTCATTTAAAAAATAAGGCAGAATTATTACTAAAGTGTCTTAAATCAAAGTTTTATAAAATGCTTTGGTAAAGGATGTAGGGTTTTATGACTTGCAGTTTTCTCAAAAAGCATTTTAAAATCAGAAAGTTTAGCTATTCGAGAAAAAAAGATTGGCATTTAAAAAAGTATTTCATCTCCTTAAACTGAAGAAACCCCTAATATTGTTAATATGTCAAAAAATACACCTTGCACTGTCTCATGTGATTCCTTTCAAACAGGGGAAGAAAACTGACGGATCAGTCAATGCATTCGCTGTCAATACTTCCATGAAGAGAAAATACAGGTATGTCAACAACAACAAAATAAAAAATCCGGTTTGTATTGAGGTGTTTTTTGTTAGCAACAGACAGTTTTTGAGAATAGTTGCACAGGCTCCTGTTCTAATATATAGTGATGATTTTTAGGGTTTTCTTTGAGCCCCTGTTGTCGATAAGGTGTCTGAGTGTCAACTTTTCAGAGCGCTCTCAGCATCATCCACTGTTACTTTAGCCAATCACCTTTTGCAGGTGTCTCTATGCAGAGATCCCGGCTCCCCTATTGGTGCTCGATGATGTAATCTGCAAGTGTTGCGAGGGTAACAGTGATGTAATGTTTTCTTATATATATATTTTTTTTTTAGGCAATACATGAACAGAAAAGGTGGATTCAACAGACCACTGGACTTCATCGCCTGAAAGTATCGACAACTCGTGAAACTCACCTTCGTACTCCTTCTTTATAGTTGTGGATGATATTGAGCTATTTCTTGTTTTGTGTCATGCAACATTTATGTATATACTTTTTAAATCTCCCATCAACACTCGGCTGTGGCTGATTATTGATAGCGGACACAATATGTGGAGCTTTGTGTTGTTGAGGTGCCTGGGCGGTTTTATTTGAAATAAAAGCAGTTTAAATATGTGTGTTTGCAGTTCTTATAAGAATAAATAAAGCCAAATGTTCCTGTTGCATTTGCCATGATGTGTGGTAACATTTAATTTTCTAACAGCAACATTTAGCTATTGTACATTTTGATTATAACATGGTGTAGTGTGAATGAATGTCTAAATGCAGCTAATTCTACACTTAAAGACTTGGGTATGCGTGTGTTGCTTGCTTGTGTGTTTGTCAAGTTGTCACCATATTTAACCTAATTTGATGTTTTTCTACAAGCCTATGCTATGGAGTGGTGTGCAATCCATTTATTACATTTAGTCCTGGAGAACGCAGTATGCAGCAGAATATCCTATCCCAAGTCGTCGTTAGTGTAGTAGGTCCAGTATTTATATTGTTCCTGCTTTAAATAAGGACATCCGTCTGATTTTAAAGCAGGCTTTTGGCTGATATCACGTTTCACTAGGCAGTGCGCCTGCGCGAATATATGCTTTGTGATAGGACATTGAGAGTCCAATAATAAGAGAACATGTGATTCCGGCCAACCATTGAGCACGAAATTAGACAAACAACATCATGGCAACCAATCCTCGCCGTCCACCGCGAACCAGCATGGCAGAGAGGCGTGTCGCCTGTCATTGAGCGGGCGTTGTCACTTCAGCTCGTGGGCATTGCAACCAATAGCATACAAGTTTACCAGCAAACAACCAATCACAGGATCCGACTGTTGAATGCAGAAACTGTCACCATCTTGGCTCAACGCCGTGTGCTTTTGCTAATGTGAATTAGAACCAAAATGGCGGAACAAGAGCCCCAGTGGCAGTTGGTGACGAGGCGTTGGTGATTGACGGCATACATATCCAGTAGGAGCTTGACTGGTTATGTCCAGTAGCCAATCGTATCGTAGTACACGGGAGCTTTGTGGTGAAGTCGGCTACAGTAGTTAACTGACGTCCAGATCAACAAGCCACTATTTTGGAAGCAGTTTGATAAACACTCACTGTTCCTCAGTTGATGTCAGTCAGCTATCTGCGTTTCCAGAGACTTATCAGCGATAAACCAGCACAGAACTAACCAGCCACATAGCCCTGAACCGATAAGGTTAGAAGACTTCGTCCGTTGAACTTTTCAAGACAACTAGCTCGTGTTTTTGTATCAATTTTTACACCAACTGACGGCCAACGGTCGTTTTTTTTTTTGATTGACCTAATCTTTTACATCAACCGAGCTAGCAGTTTTTATCGTGTTAACGTTAGCTCATTTTTGTTTCGACAAAAAGGCACTATACTCGGTTTTATTTGTATAAGTCAAGCAATCCGTTTTGTTTTGTCAACAAGCTATTATTTTTCATCGAAGAACTACAAAACCAACGATATTAATCACTTGAAAAAAAGGGCTAAAAGTGTTAGCGTTGACAAGGCACCTAACACTAAACCCTTGAACCGTTTAAACAGTCATTAAAAAGAACCTGTCTTTTAACTGAATGGTGCTGATTTTAGTACATTTAACTTGAACATAACACCGTTTGGCTCTAGGAGTAACTGCCTTTTTTTTTAAAGAAATAACTAGAACAGCCACCAGGGTGTAAAAAGGCGAGCATTGGTAGAACCTGAGGCAAGTTGTGTACATCCAAGGAATCCCTCATCGGATTTTTACATTAATATCAGTGTTATTGTGGAAAATGGCGGCGATCGGAATGGTGCAGATGTTGATCGAAGCAGCCGAGTATCTTGAGCGCAGGGAACGAGGTAAAGTGTATTGTTTTCTACAATCTATGTTGTGTACAAGATCAATTACAATCACACCCCTCCCCCTCAATCATGCTAATGTATGCAAGCTATTTTTAATCCTGTTGCAGGCAGCCCTTTATTTCGTTTTACATCCAAGTAATCGGAGCCATGCATTCATAAATGCAATGAATTTTGCACATCAATCAATTAATCAATATTCTGACATTTTTGGGAAATATTGCAAGCACAAAAAACACGTGCATTTGCCTTTTTTTGATGAATGAGAAGCATAGATGTAGATAGATGTGCAGGGAGACATTGTTTTCATGGAGGCCCCTCCTTTCCCTCTGTTGTGGTTTGGTTGTGGGGTTTATTCCAGTTCAAGATGACATCATTGTCCAGGCTGAGGAGAGAAAATACTGTCTAAAGATACTGCATGAAATCCATCCATTGCATGCTGCATTTAATCACAAGACATTGCTACTGAATTCTCAATAGGCTTAAGATGAAATGTGGCACATTTTGCAGTACTACTGTTGTCGGTTTAGCATATTTTCACTGTGGCTATATTTTGCATTGCCATATATATGGACACGTGACAACTATGTTGTTTATTTGCTTGCAGAAGCTGAACACGGCTATGCCTCCATGCCACCATTCATCAGCAGCGGAGAGACGGAAAGCTTGAAAAGGAAAAGCAAAAGCAAGAAAAACACAAGTAGCAGGTAAAGGCATATCAGCTCCTCATCGCCAGAAAACATGTTGTATCATTATTCACCTCTGCATTAAGGCGCTTATACTAGCCCCTCTGCAAGTGTGTCCCCACTGAGTGTAGCAAGATTGATGTTTCCTGCTTTGTTGTGTGCACATTTAAATTATTTTTTCGGTTCTGCTATTAGAAATGTGTCAAACCATAGTCATATGAAATTCTAATCGCTACAAAATTGTGCTTGACATAACAGAAAAAGGTCCTCTGGTAAACAAGACATGGCTTCATGTAGCCACGCAAGTCTTTTAGGTTAAGGCCCCCCATGTCCTCTTCAAAGCATTTGACTGACCGCAGCAAGCATCAGTCTGGCTTAAAGCAAAGGGCCACACTGTAAGGCAAACTGGGTCAGTCAAGGTGACTGCAGAAGACATGTCAGTGAAGGAACACGTCCTCACCGCTCCAGTCAATGGACACTTCTGCACGAACACAGAATTCCATCAATCAATCAGATCGGGACAGATTTATGTTTCGCCCACACCCCACAGATCAATGTGCTTCCGGAGTAGATTGCAATTATGAAAGTACAGCACTGGTGGAACCATATTCTAAACAACCTTAAAGTGTGTTTATTAAAGCTGCTCAAAAAATATACATTTTCCTAAAATGGTGGAACATGTTGATCTCAGCAGTTCAAATATAGAAATGTCCTGCTACCTCTGCTTACAGAACAAGACATTTGATCATATCCCTTTGGACTTTGAGAAAGTGGGATGAAAATGTTCCACTATTTTCTGACATTTTGTAGACAAAACCATGATTATTATGAAAAATGATGGTCAAATGTGTCATTAATAATCCTCAATTGCAACCCTAGTTTTTATATCCACACGTGTTTTTGCACTTGAGACTCCCTAAATGAAAACACCAGAAGGAAACAGCTAATTGATGCCACAACAGAAAGATTTATGCTTGATTTATGTTGGAAAAGTTGTCCTTTTTTTATTTTAGATATAAATAATATGTTCTAAAGTCTGAACAGTGACATTAGGGGACTTTCTCCAACAGCAGGCATACATGGCCACCCACTATTCAAATTCAAAACCTTTATTTATCCAGGTAAAATCCCATTGAGATCAATGATCTCTTTTTCAAGGGAGACCTGCAAATACTATACTATAGCATGCCTTACTTCTTCAGAAATAGAAGGGCCGACTGATTTAAACACTTTCCAGTGTGTCGAGAGGCATTTGATTGATGCATGTACAATAAATGCAATGATGTACTCGAGTTACAGAAGAGCAGAGTGGCAGCTAGCTCACTTAATGCATATGTTAGCCCATTAAGATTGATTGTAGTCTCGGGTTGAACCCACATCAGGTATGTTGGTATGAAGGCACACCATCCATCATCCAGCCAGTACTGGAATGAATGCGGAACACTTGACCTGAAGCATATTAATATGTTTATATACAGAACTCTTACCTTATCTAACCCTCACGTTCAGTACGTCCAGATTTTGTTTTAACTTTCTGCAACAGAAACAGAAAGGCCCACTTCCTGTTTTGATTGCTGACATTTGGTTGTTAAACAACATCGTTATGGGGAAATGCAAGTTTGCATCCAAATGGTTGGAAGATAAGGAGGAAGGACAATCAATACTGTATATAGTCAATGTGGGGTAAAGTGTGTCGCCAAGGTAACCGGTTAAAATGTATGGAAAGGGTCTTAAAAAAAGCTCTTAAAAGGTATTACATTTGACTTCAGGATTCCTGCATATACCCTGTCTATTAGTGCTGGGGGGAAATGATTATTTTGAAAACGATTAATCGGGCGATTATTTGATCGATTAGTCGACTAATCTAACGATTATTTTTCTGTTGTTCAATTCATAAAAAAAGTAATGTAAAAAAAACGTAATGTAAAAAAAAAATGTTTTCACGATACTGTGTCTCAGGGGATCTTAATATTTAAGAACCTATTAATGTGTTATACCAGATTAACGGAAATAATCTCAGCTAATTGACGATACAAACCATGTTTACCAAAACAAAACACAAGTCTCATGAGAAGCATCTAAATGACCCCTGAGCGAAAAATGCTAACGGACATTGGCACAGAACTCAAGATAAAAGTACCCTTATTACTTATCGTAGCTGCACATACAATATATCCGATTAAAGCTGAGACTCCACAGATTATGTAGGTATATAGTATCATCACTGAGTGATCCGGACTCGCGACAGGGGAAGCAAATACAGTCATCACAACACGTACCTTCACAGAGCTTCTCGGGAGATCGTCTCACCGCCGTAGCTGTCAATCTGATCAAAATACGTGTTCAATGGCAATAAAATGAGAAAAAACGCGGCTGAATCGGTTAATCCATAGGTTTTTAACGTCTATGTATAAAAAATAGGGCCGGGACTTTAACGCGTTAATTAAGATTAATTAATTACACAAAAATTAACGCGTTAAAAAAATTAACGCATTTTAATCGCACTTATTTTTGCACCGCGGAACGTTTCTCACTGGATGAGTTTCAGGCGTACCGATTATACTGGAGCACCAACTAACGTTCATGACTTCAGACAACAACAAACCACAGTGAACAACAGTGGGAAATGTTGTTTTAAAAAACGGACGGATGGAAGCGTCGATAAGAGCACGGTTGTGTGCAAATTATGCAAAAAGGAATTTGCATATCACCGCAGCACATCAAGCCTCAAGTATCACCTCAATGCAAAACATATAGCAGCTAGCGTGGACGTTAGCCTCTTTTATCGCGTTCACACCAAAAAGAGCCGGTACTAAAATGTGTTCATGAGAACCTTTTTACCCCCACGAAAGTCCCTGCTAGAGAGCAGAGAGCTGCTAGAGAGCAGGGACTTTCGTACGGCTCTCTTGTGAGAAAAGAGCTATATTTATGATTGGCTGGGCGGATTGCAAACCACGCCCCGTAAAACTCCCAAAAAGTTTTGTGAAGCCGCCATTTTATTATCCTTGCATTAGCATTATTAGCATTAGCCCAGCGCAGAAACGCAGAGAGACTAACTTATGGCGACACAAAATAAAACATGGGAGCGGTGGAGATGAGGAGGTGTCGGCGTTCTGGCGATTTACTCGGAAGCCTTCAGTAGAAGCTGCTGGGACTCCCAGCAGCTTCTACTGAAGCCAGTCCCCAACTCCGGGGACTTCCGGCCGGGGACTTTGGGCGGCAGTATACGCCGTTTGCGGCCTGCCAGTAAACCCAAAGCAGCAGAAGAAGAAGTGACGTCAGCGGCTTCATTTGACTAATCCTCCCCCAGGTTCAAAGAGTTCTCATGAACTAAATTCTCATGAACCTTTGTGGGAAAAGTACTGCGGTGGGAATGCGCCTAATGGTATACTAAAATCCATGTGAAAAAAATTGCTTCTCACTGTTCTCAGGTCAAATATTTATATGTGATTAAAAATGCGATTAATTTCGATTAATTAATTACAAAGCCTCTAATTAATTAGATTAATTTTTTTAATCGAGTCCCGGCCCTAATAAAAAAATGATTGAATTTATAATCCATAATTCCATTTTATGTAAAAATCGGAGAGCAAATGCTAGCTGCTAATGGTAGCCACCACAGCTAGCTGCTGCTTCTGCTAGGCTATGCAGCAGTCTCAGTGAGATATAAATATATAAATATCTTTGCGTTTTGGACTAACTTTAAAATATTCCCATGCTTTTGAAGACCTAGGGCGAGATGTTTTCGTTTGGGGGCTTCGTGCGCAATCCTGTGAGGAGGAGGTGGTAGCCGTTTCAGTCTCCATTGTGTTTGAAGTGCGATTGCGAACTGCTTGTTGCTTTGGGTGACCCACGTGTGTGTAGCGACGCGTCGACGCGGAAATATGTCGTCGACGATATTTTGAAGTCGTCGACGCGTTGCTACAGCACTACTGTCTATGCTATTTTATTATATTTATACTAGTGTTTAGACTTAAAATGACAATAATATTGTTTATAACAGTTCATTTTGCGACAATACATTTTCCTACAGAATTAGCTATCGCCACAGGCCTAGACAAAACTGCTTTCATCCATTTAAGTTTGTTCAAATAATGGAAACACTGTGAATGTTTTCAAGGACCGACGTGCGTACAGCGATGTCCTCATTTGAACCGTCCTGTCCCTATCGGCGGTGGCTGACATTCAGATGTGTTAGATGACACGTTTGTTCCGTGTGTCTAATGTACAGAGCACATGATGTGAAGCATGTGAACTATGTTTATAGGTCTGTTACCCCTCATAACCCAATGCACATAATATCCAGCTATAATACCCACTGATCTAAAGTTACACCGCTGCAGACATTTGAGTGTTCAATACTTGTTTTTATTAATTTGTTAATTATCAATTAATATTTCTTCAGTCTGTAGAAGTTTTAAGGGAAATAGCTTCCATCATTTCCCAGATTCCAACGCGACACCTTTTCATTATTTTTATTTTTTATAACAGTAAAAAAAAAAAAATATATATATATATATATATAATAAAAACAGAGAATCTCACATTAGAAAAATTGATTTATTTTAAATGAATGATTAGATTATCAAAATAGTTGCAGATGAATGCTTTCAATTTAACTAATTGTTACATTAAGCTCTAGTCGACTGCCAAACTCTGGTTAAAGAAATCTATTAATCAATTAATTTCCTGCATTTATCGAATTAGTTGACTAGATTAGCAGGAAGACATTGTCGTTCATTGTACACATTTAAAATATTGCTCTGTTCTCTTAATGTACGTAAATATATATTTTATCAAACATTTTTAGATTTAACAAGAAAAATACAGAAACTAACACAAACATGGCTACGAGTAGGGCTGCTCAATTAATCGTATTTGAATCGCAATTACGATGTTGACTTGCAACGATTACGAAAACAACGTAATCGAAATAAAAACGAATTATACTTAAAGTTCAAGGTAATCAACTGTTAAAAACATACTGTTCACATTTTTTCAATAAATTGATGTTTTCAAATAAATGGATAATCGTTTTTAATAATCGTGATATCAATTATTGACCCAAATAATCGAGATTATGATTTTTGCCATAATCGAGCCGCCCTAACGAGTACCGGCCCCTTCCTACCCAAATATAAACAAAAAGAAGACCTTACTCAAAAGGATGAGGTTTAAAAAAATAAAATCTAAGACTACATAAACCAAAGCAACACACGATAACGACAAGCAATGTTAACAATCCTTGCTCATCAGATTACTAATAGTCATTTTTATTTTTAATATCAAATCTGATGTAAGCGTGGTAAAGAGTCTGATAGGGTTGCCGAATCTTAAGAAATCTACAATATTAACGAAACAGTCTGATCTTTTTGAGTGAGCGATACATTTCCATAAACCATTTTGTGACGCAATTCCTGGCAATGCCTTCTGAAAAACCTCTTGAATGTTTCTTTAATGAGCAATACTGGAAGTAGGATTCCTTAATAAGCACATTTACAGATCTAATGGGAAGACTGCTCTTTGCAAGGAACTAGGTGTCACTGAAATATTTGGTTTAGCCTGTTGACAGGGTTAGTCGGTTGGGCTTGGCGGTGATACACCTCTATTGTTCTTTCGTATCCACCACTAAAAGATGCAGGGTGTGAAGTACAGCAGGAACACACCTGCCTCCAGCTCAGGACATGTCTTAACATGCTTAGCAGGCAAAACATTTTTAGACATGCCTCGAGAACAACATGTAAAGTAGACTACGAGCTGCTGAAGGTCTGTCCTCCTGCCATAAAACCTTTTTAGCCTACCAGCACTTTGACCATTTTATTTATTTAACTACAAGGTTATGTTAATCAACCAGCTGCTCATCTGTGAGCACTACTATATTACTATAAAAGGGCTTCAGAAGTAATTAATAAGAGTGTTTGCTCAGCCTTGATGATTCGATATGGTGTGATGTTGGATCCTGATCATTAATAAGCAGACCTGCACTATGACTGAACGAATGTTGCTCTCCAGGGGGAGGGGGGATTTCTGCCAGAGAAGACTATTAATTGAGCAGGCGTGATAAGTTATTTTGTTGCTTTTAAGACTTGAAATGTAGGGCAGGCAGGCAGGCACTTATATATGTGAAGCCACTCAACCCAGTACGTTGAAGCTCCTCCAGTTTCTGTTGTTTAACCATGGCGTGGATTCGTGAGTGGTGGGGGAGGGGAGTCGCTGTGATTCTGGTCTGTATGTGTGTTAGTAGTACCGACTCCCCCTTCCCCCTCATCTCTCTCTCCCACTTGTGTTTTTCTCTCTCTCCTCACCTCCTCCACCCCTCTGTTTCTTTATTTTCTGCTCTATTCTCACTCTTGGCAGGCAGTGGAAAGCACCAGCTCCTCCATTAAATGGATGGAGAGTCCTCCCCCACCCTACACACCCTACACAAACACACTGGTAACTACAGTGCACTATGGAAATCATACTGTGATCTTTCCCTCCTTGTTGACCTGGCAAATCGAATCTTTCCATGCTCTCCACGTGGTGTTGTTGTTCAGGATGATGTGGTTTACTTGGGCGAGGCTTCAGAAATGAAAATACAGGTTAAAGGTGGATTCATGTTGTAGACCGAGCGCTGGTGAATCATGTTCTAGACGCAATTCAGTTTTCCATCCAGTATAAGCTTAAACTCTCCATGAAGGACGCCATAAGAGATTACAGCCTATGTGTTAGTCTTTGTCCAGGGAATTGTATTAAAAGATGGGTTAAAGGTTTAGACTATATTCAGACATTATTATTACAGTATTATTCAGAAATCGATACGGTTTAAATCGGATATTCCAATTTAGGCCCTAATCGATGTAGAGTTTTGCAGTTAAGACATGGGCGGCCATGGTTCAGGGGGACAGTTGAGCGGTTTTCCACCAATCTATTCTAAAGGTTGGCAATTTGATATTCAGGCCCCTGGGTCAACATGTTGAAGTGTCCTTGGGCAAGATACTAAATCCCAAATGGCTCCCAATGGCTCGGCCAACGCTTGTGGATGTCTGTCTCCTGAAGAGCAGGTGGCATCTTGTACACCAGGGAGGCGTGTGGCGCAGTGGATTTCCGAGTTGGTGTTCGGATCAGGGGAGCACAGGTTCAAACCCCACTGCAGTCAGCATGTCGTTGTGTCCCTGAGACACTTCACCCCAAATTGCTCCTGTGGGGATTGCCCACAGTATTGAGTATGTAAGTCACTTTGGATAAAAGCGTCTAACAAGTGACATGTCATGTAATGTATGGCATCATCTGCCTTCAGGGTATTAAGCAGTTGGTACTTGTACAGCTGCAAAAGCTCTCCAAGTGCTCACAATGACCAGAAAAGCATTGTATGAATGCAGCCTATTTACTATTTACATGTGAGATATGTTTTATTCTTAGTATCCTTCTTTGGACATGTATACAGCGTATTTGAAATTCTGCATCTCAGTTGAGGTTTTTACTTTTGACCAATTCAGTATTACAAATGGATTCTCCCATAACGTCACCCATTGGTTTCTGAAGTGCCGTTGTGAAGCTCAAGATGGGCGGCTCTGGGTGTTAGCATCTTGGCAGAAACCGCCTTACCCTTGACTGATCTATAAATGGCCATTGTTGTTGGAGCCAAGCCCTTTTTATAATGTGTGACTTCCAGCCTTAATATAATTAAAATGTGTGAGTTTTAACATAAATAATCTTCCAATTATGCAAATGCTGTGACATTAGTATCCAGGAGCCGTTTCACAATGCTTTGAGAGGTGTTACTTCTCTTAGTTGACGTATAAGGTCTCAGGAACCAGGGTACCCAGTTTCGTAGTCTTGTCCATCACTTTGTACAAGTGCATTGCTACATAGTGGAATGTGGTTGCATTACTAAGAAGAGGAAGTAGTTCGAAAGTGCAAATAATGACAGTCAAATAATTTCCTCTTATTTAAAGTAAGGCCAACTGCAAATGTATTATCCAAAATGTCCGTTGGAGACATTTTTCTTTGCATTTTCACAGTTTACAATTAATTAACCCACTTCCTGATTCAAGTTTGACTTACCGTACTTTTAGTTTATTTCTGTAGATTCAGTTTCTCGTGCAATGAGGTATTATTAGCTAGGCTAAGCTACTAGCTAGACTAGAGTGATATGTAATTGGAGCAACCCATAAATAAATCCACATTAGACAACTCATAATTACTCATAATTACTCAATATCAGCTGCTGTCATGTCATGGATGCGAACGCTGGAGGTGTAGCCGGTTAGGGCAGGCGGTGGGAGTTGTCCCTGAGTCTGAATGTAGCCTGAATAACTGGGATCATTTCTCTGCAGCAATGTTATGTCACCAGCGGCTGTCTGCCCGGCGCAGGAATGCTCTCTGGCCGGAGGGGGCGACTGACAGAGAGAGCAGCCAAAGCTGAAACAAGATAATACACACACACACACACGATCATTGCTGATCAGAGGATAGGGGACTACAGTATTTGTAAGCTTAGTCTAGACATAAAAAGACACTTTAATCTGTTTTTAGTGGTTCAATTTAGTCTTTTGGAAAAATGACCCTGCAGTTATCTGTCTTTTATTGACTCCAGGTCCAACACTTTTTTTCTTTTACCAGTGCAAAGCTCTGTGACGTGTTGAAGTGAATATATAGCAGATTAAATGAACAGGAATGTGGTCCATTATTACAATTGAATAACATGGAAGACAAACTAAACATTTTCTCTCTTTAAAGCCACCAGACTCCAATGGCAGGAACAGTCGTTTTACTTCCCAGATCACAACAAAACACAACATAAACTAAATCTAAGTAATAACCTAACCTTACCAAAGATCTGTGATTGCAAAGTCTGTGTAAATCTTTCCACTGTTCCAACAATCAACAACTCTGGTTTGAGAGTGTACAGTGTATAGACTGAATAAGTAACCAATATAAAAAAGATTGTAAGATTTTCACTGTTACTAACCCTGCTTTTGGTGCATGTGTGAATGAGAAACACCAGGGAGAAAAGCAAACCTTCCTATACATTCTATTTTGGTTGAAAGTGGTATGAGTGAGTGAGAGCGCTGTGAGGATCAGGGCGGTGACTGTGTAGCCCAGCTGAGCTGAAGGTGCAGAGGCTATTTTTGGACTTACTGTAAGGTGAGGGGATCACGAGGTCAGGCGGAGGTAGAGGAGGGTTCAGGCATGCTGATCTTTGCCTCATGCCCAACTCCTAGGGCTGTTCGATTATTTTGGTCAATAATTGATATCACGATTATTAAATACCATTATTATGTCCATTTATTGAACTTTAAAACAAATACAAATAATAATTTGAACAGTATATTTGTAACTGTTGATTACCCTGAACGTATAATTCAACTGAAAAACCAATACAAAAATAAATGATATATTTAAATAAATAATAAATACCAATAAACAAGATCAACAAATATTTTGGAGCGCACTTCCACAAGCTACTAAACATATATAAATATGATAAATAAAAATAAATTAGACAAAAATAAATGAGATCAAATATGTTCACAACCTAGCGAAGTAAAATAATCGTTTTTTTTTATTATGTTTATTTTGTAATTGTGGCAGGCCAAAATCCTAATTGCGATTAAAATACGATTAATTGCACAGCCCTACCAACCCCCGCAGCCCACTACCCTTTTACACTTCATTCCAAAAACTACTTCTAACCCCATTTCTGCACGCTCTCTCGGTGAGTGTGTCGCTTTAACACTGCAATGCAGGAGTCATGCTGGCCACTCGCACACCTCCATCTCAGTTTACCTTCAGCACTGTGTCTCCCCCCCACCCCCACCTCTCCCAGTACTACATGCACAGTGGATAATCAGCCAATATGGAGGGCTCAGTCCCTGGCTTCTGTTTCTAGTTACTGTTACTATGTTTACCGGGGGGCCTCTCCACCAGAGTGTGGTCCTTAAATAAGCCTTCATAGAACAAGCCTTCGAGCATCCGAATATCCAGCTTTTTTTATTTTTTTTCTCTAGAATCTCATTTTGTCGGTAGTTCTGACTTCTCATAAACTCCCACACAGCCTTTTCTCTGTCTCCCACTCTCCTGCAGAAAGACCTTGGTCTGCATTGATGGCTCACAATGAGAAAACCTGTTTAAACAGTGTTTTAATCAAGTGTGTTTTATCTCCGCAGGTCTACGCACAATGAAATGGAAAAGAACAGGTATGTAGAAGTGATCTCATCTCTGTGTGCATATTTGTGAATTGTGGAAAGTGTCTGTTGAATCATTGGAACATTGAACATATTTCCATGTAATCAGATTAAAGAATCTCTGTTCAATCTGGAGGAAGGATTTACACATGATGAATGTAAATTCTCTAGATAATCAGGGTATTATTCAATTCAAGGCTTTATTGTCACGTGCACATTAGCTACAGTGTTGATATGGTAATGAACAACTTAGGTCACCTCCAACAGTGCAACATATATATAGGACATAGAACAAATAAAACAGATTACATATTAAAAAGATGCATGAAAGGCTACTAAGTTATTGTTAAAAGACAATTCAAAAATAAAAAAGCCTGAAATGGAAAATAGGAAAGACTTAAAATGTTCTATTGAAAAGGAAATGTAATTATAAAATATGATTTTAAATACATAAATTATAAAGATATTATTGTATCTTTTCATTTTTTTCATTCTTCCATTTTATGTTTGAACATTTCCTCCTTTCAATTTGGCATCTTATTCGGGATTAAGATATATTGCTATTCCATATTAAATAAAATAGCCTGATTAGTACTAAAATATAAATATTATTTAATATAATTGTTCCATTCTGATTTAAATGAATATGCTATCAGTTGGTAAACAGCATACCTACTCAAAGCATGCTGATGTTAGCATTAAGCTAAAGGCACTGCATGTCCAAAGCTATCCGTATACTACTGCTATAAAACACCAAATGAATACTTTTAATATAAAACTCTTTGGCTAAGATAATACCACAGGCTGTGAGGTTGAAATGAATAAAAAAAATAAGCCTGCTGTTCCTCAGGCCTTATTTTTGATTCAGTGCTTCCATCCGGCCTGTGCTAGCTGATCCAAAGCAGCGGCCTGAATAATGTATCGCACCGAGGCCTGTGTCTGGGGTTTATCCCTCTGCATGTGTGGAACACCTCGAGCCCAGCAGTCAGTCACGGTAACGACCACAGCCCGGCGTACCACTCTTAAGAACATTCATAGCCTTTAGCCACTTTCTCCCACCACTCGCTTGATGATAGAGAGCCATGTTGGGCGGATAGAAAATGACTCACGGAGGCTAGCAAAACCAGAGGAGTGCAATAAGACCCCTCACACCGTGCGTGCAGCAATACTGGCTTAGTCAAATCTCTCTCTCTCTGTGTGTGTGTGTGTGTGTGTGTGTGTGTGTGTGTGTGTGTGTGTGTGTGTGTGTGTGTGTGTGGTGTGTGTGTGTGTGTGTGTGTGTGTGTGTGTGTGTGTGTGTGTGTGTGTGTGTGTGTGTGTGTGTGACCCCCTCAAGGCGGTCCCATGCCCGTAAAATGCTGCTTCTTATTTTAAGTTTCGTTGCCTTGCTCCGCTCTGTGGGGGGGGGGGGGGGGGGGGGGGGGGAGAGTCTGTCGATGGGGATCAAAGCTGTCCGGTCCCACATGCTAAGTGCTAGCCAGAAAGCCGCGGCGTTTAAGTCCCGACTCTCCCGATGGCCAATCCGTGCCTCCCCTGACTGCACGTCGCTGACACACACCGATGCAGTGCAGACTCTCTGCACGGAGGAGCAGCGGAGTCCGGGCGATGCTGCTCCTCCTAGGAAGAGACACATGTTCACTAAGCAGAACTATATCCGGTCACAGAGATCTGCTATTTTAAAGTAAGGTCATCACATATCGACCCTAAATATAGTCTATATTAAGAACGAGAAAAGTCTTAACATATATATCGTTTTTTGTAAACATATGACAAATGTGTGAGGGTGATGACGTCAGAGCATCGTCCTATGTGCTGGGGCTTAGCCCCGGACAGCCCCAGCCCAATTTAACCCCTGGGTATTTGTGAGGGAGCTCCTATATGGCATTACCCCGCTGAAGCTCACCAAAGTTTAATATATTTCATAGTTCAAAGTTTTGTCAATTGTTTTGTTTATTGGTCAAATACTGGTTTCTTATGGTTTCTGATGAGTTTTACTGGAATGAAAGAGCACAGAGTTCAGAAGCAACAAAGCAGCATACTGCATTAGACCTGACCTTCACAGAGAGGTTGAAGTTCATGTGGAGAGGAGGCTTCAGTCTGTCTGCACTCTGTTTAGTTGTGCTATCGTACAATCAATATAGTCAATGTGAGGTAAAGTGTAACCGGTTAGAACTCGAAGTTGCGATGAGGTCTTAAAATGTATGGAAAGGGTCTTAAATAAGGTCTTAAAAGGTTTTACATCTGGACTTCAGGATTCCCGTATATACCCTGTACATGCTAGTCCTCCCAGCTGGTCACGTCCAGTTAGTGTTGGGGGTCAAAAGGGCGGGGGGGAAATGTACTGCTACTCAGGGAAAGTGCATCACGCTGCCCTAGATGTAGTTTTCAGTTGGACTTAGGTGTAGGCTTCAAGATCAACCATGTTGGATTTTAAGGGACACCTTGGTGGTCTATAATGGTTTATTAACCATTTGTTGCTTATGAAGCGATCATCTTTGTGACTCCTCCAACAAATGATTTAACAATATAAATATGGTATGTTTTGATTCATATGCAACAAATGGCTAATACACCCACTGAGCCACATTATGAATCATTTATACGTCTTAAACTTGGCTTCAGCTTTAGGAACTTTGTCATAAACATAATGATTGAGACACTTTGGTTGTTGTATCAATCAACTATTCATTCTTGCATTAGCGCCATTCTTCCTGATAATTCATGAATTACATCCTGAATTAATTCATGCTTTCTAATTAAGGCGTGCATGAATGAATGAATCCATGCACGACAAAGTGGTCTGAAGTCCGGTGTCTCTTCATCACAAACTGGGTCAGCACTCGCACCAGTCATGTGCATTTAAAAATAAATCAGAAGTCCTTTTTTTGTCCCTCAGTCAAGAGACAGTCTAGACGGAAGACTAAATTAAGAAGGCTAATTTAATAAAGAGGAAAACACACATTTACTAAAATCAGTTCAGCACCCTGGTTATAATAAGAAGCAAAAGTAAGTGAGCTGGTAGTTAACAGAGAAATGTAAGTTCTGGCCTTCACCTGATCCTCGTCCACATACTCGCTCACTAGTAACACAATGCAGCCACACTGAACGAGAAGAACCTGCAGCTGAAAAAGCTCTGTCACAGCCACACCCCGAGTCTTCATCTGTCATTTAGAAACCATGTGACCTGTGCCACTTCCTGATTCTGCTGCTGGCACTCTGTGCTGTTCAACAAACTTTAGCCAGCTTTGCTTATTATGTCAGGAAAACACAGCGAGGGCATTTCCATGTTATGTAACAGCAATGTTCATGCCCTTTGGACTCAGCTGAGGAGTTGCTTTCAGCCGAACACTGCTTTGTATGTGCGTGTGTTTTTAAAAAGGGCCCGGGCTGGGATTGTATGTATGTGTGTGTCCTCTGCACAGTCACATCCCTCTTCCCTCTTCCCGTGTGTTTTACCTATAAACCTGAGAAGTTAAAAACGTCCCAATTTTTTTTTTAAGAAATATGTATACGAGCATTCAAAGCAAAGACTCCTAATCAGGATTACCTTGCAGCACACTATAAATGAATAGCTCATCCTGCAGGCTCTCAGTTGCCAAAACATTTTTAGCACTCTCAAGAGTCTGACGTACAAACACGCCCACTCACTCGGGCACACACACACTCAGCTGAGGCCGGAGGTGTGTGTTGTATAACATCGGGGTCAACTGGTCGCCAACACCCACCAGACCGAAGCAACTGCCAGCTCAGAAAGGCTGCAGGAAGAAATGTAAATGTGAGCCGTGTTAGAGGACGGCTGACATTAATAATGAGCTCTGATCTGAGAATATGTCACTGCTGATATTTGGATTTCAGCACATTTTACAGAGCACTTTTACACTGTTACTCAAATGTCCTACGTAGCAAGTCTGTGGTTATGTTACGAAGCTTCAGAAGCACTCAGGAGAGCGTCAGCAGTGCAGGAAACCTCACATGGGCAAACGTTTTACTCTGCCTCCTTTATGAATAAGTAACTCTAGCATTTGAATAAAAAAGCAGAGGGACTGAAACACATGCACAGTGGCTCTGATTAAATACAAATACCTCATTGAAGGCCTGCAACTAACGATTAGTTTCATTATTGACTAAGCTGTTGATTTTATAGTTTGATTCATTCATAGTTTTGGCCTAACATTGGAGAAAATAGTTAAATGTCCATACAAGTTCCTCAAAGTCCATTGTGTTGTCCCCACTTTGAATTGGTAGAAAATGTAGAAAAGCAGGAAATAAAAATAAACATCATTTTTGCCAGAGATTATCACACAAATGGGCGTTATCTTCCTCCAGAGATGTTAGGTTGTATTTCATTTGTTTTGGTCCTAAAATAATAATAATTATAATAATAATAAAAAAACACGTTTTCGAAAAAAGAAGATACTCATTTGATATCTTAGCTCAGTGGTTCTCAAACTGTTTTCAATGATGTACCACTTTGAAAACATATTCCGCCAAGTACCCCCTGATCAGCGCAAACACAATTTGTGAGGGAAAACATGCCTATATAAAGAGGTACAGCACAGCGCTGCACCATCAGTGTCTGATTTATTAAAACAACAACATTGTAACTGAGAAACACTTAAATGCTACATTTCAAATGTTTACAATCCATCACTAAATTCATGGCAAACCAATTTTAACATCAAGCAATAACACTGAGACGACATTAGTTGCATTGAACTGATCTTTTTAATAAGTTGTAATTACAGTGTAGTGAAACATGGGCTTGAGCTTCACTGAGGATCTTTGTCATTCTGACAGGGAGGCACCTGCAGTTATTACACTTTGCCTTTTGAAATATGTGTAACTCTGTTCATATAAAACCCACTCTGCTCAAACTTCCTTACTTTTCCTAAAATTGGTTTATTTATTTATTTTGGGGCGTGGGGAATGAAGAGAAAACAAATATGAGCATTTTATGAGCATGGGATTTTGACTCCTCATAAAAACATTATGCATAATGCTGCGCTACTTTGCGGCCACAGGCCGTTGCCAAGCAACGCTTATTGTTTAGGTCCTTTGATAAGCAGGCAGTCAAATAATTAACTAAAACTAGCTAGATCTGATTTGGACATAGACGCGAGTGAAGTCTAACCGGACGAGAGAGAGGGATCAGATCAGCTGCTGCTGACGGAGAACACGCAGCTCTGCATGATCACAGCTCCGCCGCTGTGACGGACCGTTGAGCCGAGCAAAATACACTAAGAGTTAGACCTAACACACTTAGCTAGTAAATCTACTCTGGAACTAGCTAAACTAGTTATACATATATTTATTCTTTACTGTCGGGTCACTTATTACAGGTTCAGCGAGCTGCACGAGACTGACGGGCTGTCAGGAGAGGGGGAAGAAAAGAGAGCACCCCGTTTATCGTTCCCATTTTATTATCCAGAGTTTCTGTAAACCTTTGAATTAAGTAGTTAATCTACTATTAGTAGTTTGTTTAAATGCATTAATTATGTTTGTTTTCTTCATTAACATAAAATAAATCTCACGTACCCCCTGCAGTACTCCAACGTACCCCTAGGGGTCCGCGTACCCCCATTTGAGAACCACTGGCTTAGTGGGACTAGTTAAATACATTCAGATGATTCTCTGTCTACAATACAACTAAGAAAACGCCAGCAATGAAAGCATGAGATGTGGTTTAAGGCTCCAAAGAATGTTCTTCATTGATTGACAAACTACTCTTTCCATGGCTAAGAATGAACTTGCCTGCTCAACTTCAGCTGCTTGTGTGTATCTGACGGTAGATCAATCAATAATCATGTTTCCCCCTCTTTGTTTCTTCTCTCCTGTTCCAGACGGGCAAATCTACGGCTCTGTTTGGAGCGCTTGAAATCCCTCGTTCCCTTAGGAAAGGATGCCAACAGGCACACCACCCTCAGCCTGCTGATGAAGGCCAGAGAACATATCAAGGTGTGGGGCTTTAAAGTGTCATGATGTGTAATGATGCAGAGGTTAAAAAGCACAGGTAGGTTTATCGGTGCATCTCTAACTAGAAGACATCTACTAAAGCCTAGAGGGCAATCTGTGAAGTGCTGTTTCGGGGAAGGAAGGTGGATTGTTTTGGATGTGATGAGGGTTACTTTAAGGGTTGGGTTTTGAGCGCTGTGTTGTTCTGCTCCCTGCAGAGGTTGGAGGAGAGCGACAGGAGAGCGCAGCACACGATGGATCAGCTGCAGAGGGAGAGGAGGCACCTGAGGAGACGCCTCGAACAGCTGGGGGTGGAAAGGACCCGCATGGACAGCACCGGCTCCACCCAGTCCGACAAGTCCGACTCTGACCAAGGTACACACACACATAACACACACATAACACACACACACACACATAACACACACACACATAACACACACACATAACAGACACACACTACTTTGCCTGAGAGAAGAGATAAAGAGGGGGAATCAAGACAGGGTTGCTTTCACAGATGTTTAGGATATGCAAATATCAGCTGCCCTGACTGTACGCGGCACCACGCCTTGTTTATTCAGGAAAGATTCAAGTAGTAATTAAGGTTAGGCGATGGGTTAAAACGTTCCAACTGACACCATCAGCCAACAACCAGAGCATCGTAAAACACTTCATTCAAACTTGACGGAAACAAAATAAAACTCGCCCTAACTTTGCTAGTCTTTAAAAAAATTCTAACAATCACCAACTCTGGGTTTGGTTGAAACAAACTATTAATTAACCGTTTTAGTTTGGAGTTGAAGTCACTCTCATTTTAAACAGATACACTGTTTCCCCCAGCTGTCGCTCTCTGCATTCAATTAACAATATAATGACGAAAAAAGCCAGAAATTAGCTTTTTACCAACTTTCAAACCTAAAGAGATAATTTATCATGTTTGTTTTTTGGTATAAATAATCTCATTTCACTTGATACTGATATCATAAATACAGTCTGTACGGATCAACAAGACATGAATGACAGAATAAAAAACAATAAAATGACAGCATAGATAATCCAAATGACAAATGATATGGTGTGACACTGACATAATATCAATGTCATACCAAAGCTTTACCATTACAATAAGCACGTGTCCCGTCTGTGTAAAGAGATTCTAAAAGTTTCAGAAGAAGAAATGCTCTCACTTTTTGTCCTGATCCATTTATATGTAGCCTTTTATTTATCCAGGTAAAAATCCCATTGAGATCAACGATCTCTTTTACAAGGGAGACCTGCCAATATAAAAACCTGTCTGAAAATGAGCTGATCAGATTTGGCCATTTTATGATGTCATAACGATTTTTGGTCTTGTGTAACCATTAGCCAATCACCAACCAGGGTAACCCCCCCCCCCCACCAGCACCATTGTGTTCTTTTTAACCAAATATCTCTCAGAGGGGCGTGGGGGAGGGGCTCCTTATTTTCATCTAAAGTAACACTTTTGAAACAGGGCTGGAACAGAGGGGATTATGGGTAATGCTGCATTGATCTGTTTGGTGTTTGGAGCCAAACACTTCAGAGACATGTTCTGTATATATCTGAGACCTATAATATATTGATGAAAAACAGTATAATAGGGCACCTTTAACCGTGTTGTGTCTCCTGTGAGCAGAGGACCTGGATGTGGACGTGGAGGGGACGGACTACCTGCTGGGGGACCTGGAGTGGAGCACCAGCAGCGTGAGCGACTCGGGGGACGAGCGGGGGAGTCTGCGCAGCAGCTGCAGCGACGAGGGCTACTCCAGCGCCTGCCTGCTGCGCCTGCAGGACACTCAGGAGATCGCCACGCAGCTGGCCTGCAGCCTATAGGCGCCAAGCCCCGCCTCCTCCTCCCCCTCAGCCAATCCCGTCCCAGGATGCCTCACCACTCCCTAAATGCGATCTGAGACCCCCCCCAGCCCCCTTACTTTGACCTCCATCCAACACCTTTTAGACACACCCACCCATCATCAGCGGTCAGTCATTAAGGTGTCCCCCGCTCTGCTCTGCACCAATCAAACGAGTGGGATTTTAAAGACACTCCAACCCCCCCGTCACTCCGTCCATCCGTCAGAAACACAACTTTCAGCCAGAGAATGTTACTACACAATGCCCCACTGCCTCTTTTCTATGCCTCAAGAGACATGGGAAGCACTTATGAGATTTCACAAATACTAACACACACACACACACACACACACACACACACACACACACACACACACACACACACACACCCCTCCATCGCTCCTGGTTGTCCCGTCCTCCCAAAGGTGTGACACTGACATGATGCAGGGCTTTTTTCTGCCCCGTCATGGTACTTTTGCACTTACAGCAAAAACATCTTTTTTCAAATGCTGTCTCTTAAAAACTTGAAGGAGCCCCCCCGCCCCCCCCCCCCCCCCCCACCACTACAGTAATGTTACAAGATGAGCTGAGCGTTATTATTATCTCTGGCCTACACTAAAGCTGCCTGTGTGAGGTGTGACTCGGGGCTGCCAGCAATACGCCGCTTAGCACGCACCCAGGCATCGGCAGGCTCCTAACTTTATGATTTTCTGTCCACACCTGCCAGTTTAGAGAGTACAAAAACGTAAAAAAAAAACTTTGTGCGGCATGAGATTGTGAAAGGGAGGGTTTATGGGATGGGTTTTTAATGTTGTTCTCCCTCTCTCTGATGACTGTTGCGTTTTCACAGCATCCTTTTATCGTAATGTGTGTTTGTCACGTTTTGAGGGGGGTCACTAGCCGGTTTGGAAACTTTTTTAAAACGCCAGCCACCGGGGCCCGATGCAGGTTACATGTTGGCAGGTGCTGGCACATTTTAGTACACGACTTCCTCTTGTTCTTCACTGCCCCGTTCAGCAGGTGTTAACAGGAAGATCTACTGAGAGAACATTCCATGTGTAGAGAGGACAGACAGGCAGGTGAGATTATTTTCACGAGTGGATGTTCCTGCCATTTATTTATGAAGGAGCCCAGATTGTCTCTCCTTCGCCTTGCCTTCATAGCTATTTATTGTTTCTGCAAAAAAAAAATGTTAATGTAAATAGTTTACAGAAATATCTCTATGTCTATCAACAAATGTATTTATTAGATATACTAAATATATAGATGAATATATAGAAATATATTTAATTAGTCATTCTACTTGTGAGAGTTTCCGATGTGTAGTGTTGTTTGCACAGCCTAGTCAATCCTTAGAGTATTTAGAATCGTCTCTTGTGCCTCGAGGCTTTTGTTCACAATTCGGCACGGTGCTCATAGGAAATGAAATGTTTTTCTTTGTGATTGGTCATAATTTTTTCGCTGTTTTCAAAAAGCCAACTCCCTTTTTAAACGGGGGGAGTATAAAATGACAAAAAAACTTGAATAATTTATTAAAAAATGGACTTTTAAAAAAAAGTATAAAAGAGAGATGAGCTGGTGGCCAGGGTGAGCGTGGAGATGATTCTTCTGGCAAGAGCTGCGCTATCTCCGTGCAGAGGAACCCAAAAACGAAAACGGCCGCCTCGTGAGAATGTAGCGCCTTTTTTGTTCGGTTCAAAAATCATCACGGGCAGCAAAGGGGAGGGTCTTCTGAATGTAAATGTCCTCTAACCCTGCAGTGTAGCAGCCCGACGCCAAAGGAACCTCCATCCCACATCCACCCACCGCTCACAAGTCTCATTGAAAGCATGAATCCGAAAAATAGATTTAGGATTGTTTAGTGTGGAATGCTGCTTATTTTAATATTTGTTTTGTTGTCAAATTGGAAACCTTTTCAAACGGAGAGGAGCTATGTAGCCGCGTTACGAGGAGAGCTAAAGGGGAGACGTAACGGGGCATAAAGTGTGAGTGAGTGGGCAGTTGTGTTCACTGAAATGCCATCTGTCAGTGTGTGTATGTGTAAACAGTATGTGTGAGTGTGTGTGTGTGTGTGTGTGTGTCGTCGCTGTCTTCAGAGAGACGTTTTTAGGGGTGGTAGAGGGTGGGTGGTTTTAAAATTATATTGTTAGGCTTCGTCTCTGTTTGCTAGTCAAATGCAAAAAAAAGTCCACTTCATGTATTTACCTAAAGCATTAATGTCTGTTGAAGGGAGTCTCCTGTTTCCTCCTTTTTCCATCCATCTCCTGTTGTGTGTCTTCCGCCAATCTGTGTGTGTGTGTGTGTGTGTGTGTGTGTGTGTGAGAAAGTGTGTGTGTGTGTGTGTGTGTGTGAAATGCTTGATTTTATGACGAACCCTTTTAACATTTAACCAGTTGCAGTTTGGCGATATCAACAATTCCTTTTCCAAAATCAAACATATCCAAAATGTAATTCTGTCTGTAAAAAATAACTGCATTTCATTGATTGCTATTTAATTCGTTTTTCTAGCTTTCACCATTGACTTATATTCAAACTCAATGACAGATGTATCTATTATTCATCTTTGACGTGTTATAATTCAACATATCTATGATGTTATTTTGGCTAGTTGCAATTGTAATAAGGATATCTGCAACCCAATTCTCACAAGTGGAGATGTTGTAGATATCTTAATTTATTCTTAATTTATAAATATCTCATGTTCTGACTAGTCCAAATGTACTCAATTTAGATATCTAGAAATATATATTTCAGATATAATACAATTCTTACTAGTAAAGTAATTATATATTTGTAAGATTACACACCTAAAATACAAAATGTAACAACTCATTTGTTACTATTCAGAATTTAATTAAATACAAAATAAATATTCAAAATGCTGTTGAATATATCTGAAAATTAACTATTTATTTTTCAACATGGGGAAATTCAATTGTAGATATCTTATCAATTACTACGTGTGAAAATGTACTTGAAATCTGTGTCAAAATCTCTTTAATTTAAAATTCAAACTATTAGTAACTAAATCACTGCTAGCCAGCTCTACTGTTTACATTTGAAAGGGTATGCCACACAAGAACATGTAACTCCCCCCCCTCACCCTTCCTCCCCCTCTTAAAGACCCGGTGCTCTCAGCCTCAGGACGCAGGCGTGGAGTCTTTAAAGAACAACACTTTAAGATGTGTACTAAGCATCAGGAGAAACTCGTGTTCATGTGTATATTTGAGATTGTTTGTTGTTGCACATTTAATGTCCCTGCATACAAAGTGGCTGATAATGCCTTAAAACACGACAGAAGTATATATGATATGTATGACTGTATATGATATATTTATATCGACGTGTATCACAAGGGTCATTCCTTTCATTGTCTCAGGCGTGGTGCTTTCATGCAACACACACACACACCGTGTCATAGCTCCATGGACATCGTTGCCGCCTTTCTCAAAGGTCAAATGTCTGTTTGTTGAACAATAAGGAGGGCGTTTTGTGCACCTACTTTTTAAGAATTGGATCATTTGGACACTGTCTTCTAAAGAAAACACTTACAATGTTGGGGAAAATAACCTTTTAAAGTGAGTTGTGGAGCATCAATTTGTATTTGCCATTGATATTAAAGGAATAAAACATTGGAAACCCTTGTTTACCTACCTAACACCTTGTTGTCTTTATTTGTACTTCCTTCACCTACAAAGACAAATTCACCAAAAGACTCCAAATGGACACATGACTGCAACAGATGAACAGAAACTAAACAAAACCATGATGTCATAAAATACAGCAAAGCAAGACAGTATAACCAGGGAGATACAGATGATTACAAAGGCACACAATAAGACCTCTCAAAGAGACAACAAATTACTATTAAAGGTAGGGTAGGTAAGAATGGAGAAACCAGCTCGAGTGCGCAAGAATTTGAAAATACACAACAGAAACAAATCTGCCCCTTCCTTCAGACTTCCTTACAGAGCCCCTCCTCCAACACACACGAACGCGCACATGACCAATGAGGGCACGAGATAAGTTTGTGCCCAGATGGAAGGCTGACAGGCAGGTAGGCCATCCAGTTACTTTAGCCGGGCCGGCTCAGATGATTGGTCGAGCTTTTTACAGCGCCACGGCTTCCATAGGTGACATTTTATAATGGATTTATTGTCAAAGCATTTAATGTATTCATTGCTATCGAGATGTTAAGAGCATTCCATGGAATATAACAAGTGTTTCTGAAGTGAATTACTTACCCCACCTTTAAGAGACACAAAACAACCGCACAAAAACTACAAAGAGACTTGAACTGACCACAAAAACACAAATTAAAAACAATTTAAAATGACCACAGAAAAGCAACAAGACTCAACACAAACTACAGACACAACACAACTTTAAAATGACATGAAATAACCACAAAAAGACTTCAAAGCTGGAGAGGTCGTGGGGCCCTTTCTCTCCATTAATCCCCCAAAACAGACGCCTGTACAGTGATTGCTCTCGAAAAGCAAATGAAGGTTTGTAACAGAGGAGTCCCCCCCACCAGATTCTCACACTGAATAACGTTCACAGCAGATTTTTTTGAACCACAGATTAAACAAGGCCTCTCTGGGGGCTCAAAACCCGCGAGACCTCCAGTGTTTCTCAGTAAACCCATGTTTGTCTGATCACAGCCATCTGACTGCTGCTGCTCAATAACACACACACACACACACACACACACACACACACACACACACACACACACACACACACACACACACACACACACACACACATAGCCATAGAAGGAGAAGGAAGAGGCGGTTGAGCATCTCGCAAAAGCATCCCTTCTGGAGCTTTCTGAGGGGGAGGGGAGCCACAGGAAAACGATTTTTCACGTGGTGGGGAGTCCTGGCTCCAATACTTTTTTTTAATATACTGTGGGATTTGCCTGAGGCCTATAAGCTCTAACATGTGAAATGTGGAAATGAGCACATCAAATCTGGGTGGGAAACACATCTTCTCCACCATTTGCATCGACACAAAGCTTCTTCCATGATTTGCAGTCTGAGAGGAGGAGCAGAGACCCCCCACTACAGTCCATTACTCTCATTTAGGTATTAAGAAATAGGTAGCCAAGTGTGTGCTGTTAAAGATGGATGCGGCACATTTAGCACAGTTTAGATGTATAAACCGTTAGAAAATATGTTCCTATATTGATGCATCCCACTGTAATGTGAACTTCCAGCTGTATAGAGGAAAAGTACAATAAAAACATGTTTTAAAGTATATCCAATAAGTACAATATATCTGAATAGAAGAAAGGGAGTCAATCTATCAATCTTTCTATCTATCTGTGTATGTATCTATGTATTTATGTATCTATGTATCTATGCATTTATGTATCTATGCATTTATGTATCTATGCATTTATGTATCTATGTATCTGTATTTATGGATCTATGTTTATGTATCTATGTATTTAACGTATCTATCTATCTATCCATCTCTCTCTCTCTCTCTCTCTCTCTCTCTCTCTCTCTCTCTCTCTCTCTCTCTCTACCTACCTACTGTACCTACTCTACCTACCTATCTATCTATCCCACTGTGAAGCACTTAAAAGACACACCTTGTGTATAACCGGCACATGAAACACGAGACACACACCGCATTGCAGCTCAGCCCGAGCCAAGCACTACATGCTCAGCTAGTGACACAACCTACCTTCTGGTGTGTGTGTGTGTGTGTGTGTGTGTGTGTGTGTGTGTGTGTGTGTGTGTGTGTGTGTGTGTGTGTGTGTGTGCATGTGCGTGCGTGTGTGTGTGTGTGTGTGTGTGTGTGTGTGTGTGTGTGTGTGTGTGTGTGTGTGTGTGTGTGTCTGTCTGTCTGCCTGCCTGTCTGTCTGTCTGTTGACTGTTGGTGTGTGTATAGAAATGTTATTGACAGAGTTGTGTCAGTAAGTGCGTTGTTTGTGTCGGGGTCACGGGCCTCCCCTGTCAGATTAGTCAAATCCTGCAGCTTATCTGAGACCTGCACACACTTTACTCTGACCTATGCCTACTGACTGTCCTGACATGTCATGCACACACACACACACACACACACACACACACACACACACACACACACACACACACACACACACACACACACACACACACACACACACACACACAGAGAATGCAGTGTGCCATGGGAACACTAACAAAACACTTGAGTTTGTGCGGAGAGATTTAACCTCTTATAATCAGAATCAGAAATACTTTCTTCATGACAAAAGGGAACTGATAGTTTAAGTTTATTTTGCGTTTATTTGCACAATTTCAACACAAACATCACAAAGATGATAAATCCACATAAATAATAATTGACCTTTCACAATGTTTAGCATTTATATGTTTGTTAAAGAGGCCCTATACTGCTTGTGTGTGTTTTCCCTTCCCTGTAGTGTGTTCTAGGTTTTAGTGCATGTAAATGGTCTGCAAAGGCTAAAACCCCTGTGTTCCCTCCAGAGGAAGTCTCTCTCCATTGCAGATTTGCAAATTATTGTCGATTGTGGTTGCATGTCATAGCATACGATTTCTTTACCTATTCAAAATATTTTTGGTCAATATATTGGGGGGGGCAGGAGACATTGTTGCATATCTGCATACTGGGGGAAATGTTTCCTTCTCAAAATACAATATATCATAATTGCGGCCTTACTTTAATAGAAATCCTGCAGTAGCTATAAGAACAATGCTGCACAAGAGGCTGAATGACAACATGATCCTCCTCCATCAGCTGACAGCATAAAGAGATATTTGAATGTGTGTGTATATATGCTTTGTGTGTGTGTGTGTGTGTGTGTGTGTGTGTGTGTGTGTGTGTGTGTGTGTGTGTGTGTGCGTGTGTGTGTGTGTGTGTGTGTGTGTGTGTGTGTGTGTGTGTGTGTGTGTGTGTGTGTGTGCGAGAGTGTGTATAATGCAAACAGATGGAGGAGATCGTCGGCATGCTGCAAAGAGGGATCCCGTGGGATGGGAGTGAAGAGTTCACATCACACAAGATCACTGCAACCAAGAAAGAACAAAGCGAGGCAGCTGAGTGGCCGCTACGTGACACAGACTGAAGATCTTCACAGCAAGCAGAACACCTGGCATATCAAAGCTACAAAGGGAAGCAGGTTTCAAAGGAGAGGGGGTTTGTATAGGGAGATCCGGACATTTCTGAGTTAAAAGGTATCATTATATTTGAAAGAACGGAAATAAGGACTCTCAAGGACTAGACATTATGATACACAAAACAATGTTTTCCTTTCAGTAACTGAATATGGGTATACAAACTGCATGATGAGAGGTGCAGCACACTGACTGAAAGGTATCTAAAGCCCCTTACCCACCGGAGAAAAAACAGTAACATCTGGACTTTGTCTTAAGTGGGCAATGTTGAAATCCCTATTCAGTGGGACGAACGTGGCAGTGATGGGAATTTTCTCTTTTATATAGTTGGTAACTCGTGACTGTGAGATGGTTAACATTTAGAGCAAATCATGCATATACATCTCCCACTAAGTTCATTTTCTGCAATCTCAGTGTGTGAATGTAGGAAAGATATGTGGCTAGTGAAAAAATGGGTCCAAAATAGCAAACACGTCTACTAGCAATTGGAAGGACTCTATCTCTTGCACTTAATGTCGTTGCTGCTATATTGTACTGCCATGTGGTAAATACGTGTGTGTGCTGCTCTTGCTCTTTTGCATATCATGTATTTATTTTTTGCTATGTCTACAAATGTCATGTTCTTATATGCTGTATGTCAGGGACTACGGATGGAAATGAGCTCAAAGCAAAACTCCGCTTGAAGCATTATTTGTCTAAAGTGTTCATTAATGTGCATTGTCCCTATTCAAATAAACGATTAAATGAAAATGAAATCACCTACAACGGCAGATTTCCCAATATTTACAAAACCTGTATATACACAATAGCTTTTTGTCTGCCAGCTCAAGTGTACAAACAGTGTATTCTATAAGGAGAAACCACAGTGAGTTGGGTGTGGGTTGTTCTGGTGCAGCAGCAGAAAGGTGAGAGAAGCAGGCTGATGGAGGGTTAGGGTCTCTATGTTTAAATCCCTCTTGTTGAGGCGACCAAGCACCCAGGATGTGAGCTGAGCATTGAAGCAACATTTTCTAGTGGCCAAACGGTGATACTGCAACTTCCGGGTCAGTCTTTGACATAATTTGGCCCAAAAATACCGTTTCTCAATTAAATAAGGCAACAGTAAGGCAAGTGGCCCTATTTTGCTCATTTTCAGGTTCATATCTGTTTGTTGTGTTTCTACTGTGACATGTCTCCAGGCTTTAATGTTCACAAAGCTCTTTATTTCTCTCATACTGCCTGTGCTGCAGCACCTCTTTTCATCCTCTGTCTGAAACCAGAGCCCAGTCTGCTCTGATTGGTTATCAGGCAGACTCTGTTGTGATTGGTCAACTGCTTAGAGATGTCCCGCCCCTTTAGCCTATCACGTACAATGTGTTGGAGCGCTAGCCAATAGAAGCACAAGTGTTACATAGTGATGTCAGTGTGTTACAGAAGTAAATAAGGAGTCCAATGGAGACGTTCCAGGCAGGGGGGGGGGACTTTAGGATTTTAGCCTTTCATACCATTTACATGCACAAAAACATATAACACATTACAGGAAAGGGAT